TTTGCATGTCGATGTAAGATCGGAGTGCTGAGCCACCTTCACGATGACGAAGCTGCGGAGGTGGCCATTGTCTTGTGATTAGGATGTCAATGTAAGATCGGAGAGCCACCGCCACATCAAGGAAAACGAGCAACGGTGGCTGTGTTAGTGAGACATTTAACCTGTTAATGTAAAGACATTTAACCTGTTAATGTAACACTAGAGAGTCGAAAATAACTACTGAACATCACAGCCAGTTATGACTTAACCTGGAGGGGAGAGGCAGGAGAGTGCATGGTGGAGGGGAGTGGAGTGAGATGGGAGGGGAGAGGCAGGATAGTGCGTGGAGGGGAGTGGAGTGAGATGAGAGGGGAGAGGCAGGATAGTGCGTGGTGGAGGGGAGTAGAGTGAGATGGGAGGTGAGAGGTAGGGGAGTAGAGGGAAATGAGAGGGGAGAGGCAGGATAGTGCGTGGAGGGGAGTGGAGTGAGATGAGAGGGAGAGGTAGGAGAGTGAGTGGAGTGGAGTGAGATGAGAGGCAGGAGAGAGCGTGGAGGGGAGTGGAGTGAGATGAGAGGGGAGAGGCAGGAGGGAGCGTGTGGGTTTAGTAAGTCTGTGTGCAGTGGCAGTGTGTAGGCAATGCGAGTCTAGTGCACAGTGCAGTAACCCCACTGTGGTCTGCACGCTCCTTCGACGGAGGAGGAACAGCGACACGACACGAACTCTGTCTCTGTCTCTGCTGAAGCCCTCTCGTCGTGGCGAGCAGGAGCAGCAGCAGCAGCAGGAGACCGCCACATCTGCATCGAGCTACTGCGCCACAGAGCTGTACGTGTGCATGTTGAACTTCTTTCGCACCGTACGTAGCCAACCGTGCTAATCTGAGGTGCTGCTGCTGTCATCGTGTGGGTGGTAGAGTGGAGTCACCTTCGTTATTTCCTTAAGCGGACCTCGCTCCTACCGCCACCACCACCACCACCACCAAAGACATGCCCTGTGTAGCTTTAACAGACTGTTGGGGCGAGTGCTATTCGTGAGTAGCGCCTAAGTATGTATATATGTAGAACTTCCTTCGCACCGTACGTAGCTAGCGTTGCTAATCGGAGGTGCGGGGAAGGACAAACTAAACACAAGAAGCAGTCCTAAAGGAGTTAAGGGAGGTATGGCCAAGCACAACGCCCGGCTGCCTTTTGCCTCCAACAGCGGCGATGTTTTTTACACTCGGCACCAGGTGCTGATTTGAGACGGAGTCGACCTAGGGGAGGCCCAGGACCGGTTCAGATAATCGTCGCCGGTGGTGTTGGTGGCACCGTGGGCGGGGATCGAACTCGGGTTTCGCCGGGTGGACCCCCTGCCCCGTAGCTGCCCCCCCCCCTACCCCCCGGCGCCCTCCCCTCTCGCATTTCCCGCCCCGGGAAGCCGACCGTCAAACTCGTCGCAGCGAACATTTGGCTGCTGCTGCTGCTGCTGTAAATTTCCACGCAACGACGGTGATATCAGCCACTTTGTTGAGATGCTATCGGGTGCGGTGGCCAGGTCACGTCCGTGAAAGGAGCTACGTAGCTCGGTTGGGGCCTTACACCCGGTAAAATAAAAAAAACACGGTGTTTTGGTTTAGTTTAGCCATTCGATCGAGCGTCGAGCCACAGGTGTTCGTCACGCGTTCGCAGCCCCGCAGAGCCGGTGGCGGTAATTCCACGCTCTTATCGCGAGGGTAAGGATATATACACAGGGCAACTCCTGGTGACTTTTCCGATAAAGTAGTGCGCATTTTTTATCGACCCCCCCCCCCTGGACCGGGGGATGATGGGCTTAGTCACCCGCCCCCCAATCAGGATTTGACCTCGCGACTTTTCGTTTGCGAGCGGCTCGCTCCAGCGGTGGTGTAAATGATGATAGGATGGGTCAACGCCCCCACCCCCTTGCCCTGGCACCGCCCCCCTCCCCCAACCATCCCCCCTCCCCCCCCCCCCAAAAATAGAAGTTTTGACGCCACCGCGGTTTGAATGGGGGGGGGGGGGGGGTGCGACCGTGTGAGAGGCACCGGAAGCAGCTGGACGCAGCACGTGGTGGTGGTGGTGGTGGCAGTCTGGCCACTACATCATGGGATACTGCTCCCCCAGAGCATCATGGGATACTGACTCTCCCAGAGCATCATGGGATACTGCTCTCCCAGAGCATCATGGGATACTGCTCCCCCAGAGCATCATGGGATACTGCCTCTCCCAGTGCATCATGGGATACTGCCTCTCCCAGAGCATCATGGGATACTGCTCCCCCAGAGCATCATGGGATACTGCCTCTCCCAGTGCATCATGGGATACTGCCTCTCCCAGAGCATCATGGGATACTGCTCCCCCAGAGCATCATGGGATACTGCCTCTCCCAGAGCATCATGGGATACTGCCTCTCCCAGAGGATCATGGGATACTGCCTCTCCCAGAGGATCATGGGATACTGCTTCTCCCAGAGCATCATGGGATACTGCCTCTCCCAGAGGATCATGGGATACTGGCTCTCCCAGAGCACCATGGGATACTGCCTCTCCCAGAGGATCATGGGATACTGCCTCTCCCAGAGCATCATGGGATACTGCTCCCCCAGAGGATCATGGGATACTGCTTCTCCCAGAGCACCATGGGATACTGCTCCCCCAGAGGATCATGGGATTATATCCACCAGCGCCCTGCCATTATGAGCCTGGGCAATGTTTGGTGTGTGTGTGTGGGGAGCAGCGGTAGTGTAGCGGTTAGCGCTACGCTGCGCTATGAACCTGGCGACCCGGGTTTGATTCCCGCTCGCGGCCACCAACACCCGTGACGAATATCTGAACTTGTCCTGGGCCTCCCTTAGGTCGACTCAGCCGCTAAATGAGTACCTTTTGGGGTGTGTAGTAAACATTGCCACTGGGGAGACAAAAGGCACGGGTGCTGGCCACACACCCGGCCTTCGTAGGTGCCGCTCGCTAACAGCACTTGCCCCAACAGTCTGTTAAGGCTATACAAGGCTGGGGGGGTAGTTATCGTTGCCTTTGGTTCCAAGGGAGAAGCATGGGAGTGGGGTGACCGCACGGCCGCTCACTCCGATTCTCGCACTTCCCCGGCACTTTCCCTCCAGATGGGGCCACGCAGCTCCACCTGCTCTGACCTCAGCATCATATCCAACAATGGTCTTCTCAGTCACAGCGAAGACACGAATCCGCTTGGCACAGCGGTCCCGTCGGAGCTGCCGCGGGACAGCTGCGTTTATCGTGTGGCTAATTGCCGCGTGAAGCGAGCGTGGTGGGGTGTTCTCTTCCTTGCCAAATCCTTCGTGAACACCCAACAAGGAGGACTCTTGTTTAACACGTCGGCTTTCGCGACCAATGTCACCCGTAACATTGTGGGTTTGTTTGGTTAGGTCGTGCAAATATAAATGTGTCGTTAAACCCGCCACCACGCGGCACAGCCAGTTAGTAGATTGTAAATGTTGTTGATTGGCTCTCCCGACACAGCGGTGCGCTTTGCTCGTAACGAATTGGCGCGTTCCGTTTACGTGACAACCCTTACGAATTGGCTGTGTCGGGTGGTGGCGGGTTTAACGACACAACATTTATGTACTTACGCGATCCAACCCAAAGAACCTATAGTACGAACTAGGGCTGCTGCTGTACAAGCAGAGACGCGGCCTACGTCGGAACCCTGCTGCTGCTGCTGCTGCCTGCATGTGGGGTGCAGTTTCAGAGCCGTCCCCGTCCACTGCTGCACCTGATGTCAGAGTCAAGCGGCAGTCGGCTTACTGATGATCCAGCACTTGCCGGGTCTCCCCAGCCACCCACCCACTCACTCATTCACTCGCCCACTCACTCAACCTGGTACTCAGCCTTTCACTTACCCAGTCACTCATTCGTTCACCCACTCATTTACCCTCTCACTCATTCATCCACCCACTGACTCACCCAGTCATTCACTCACCCAGTCACTCGCCCAGTCACTCGCCCACTCACTCATTCACTCGCCCACTCACTCGCCCACTCACTCGCCCACTCACTCAACCTGGCGCTCAGCCTCTCACTTACCCAGTCACTCATTTATTCACCCACTCATTTACCCTCTCACTCATTCATCCACCCACTGACTCACCCAGTCATTCACTCACCCAGTCACTCGCCCAGTCACTCGCCCAGTCACTCGCCCAGTCACTCACCCAGTCACTCGCTCATTCACCGACCAAGTCGCTCAATCAGCCAGTCGCTCGCTCATTCACCGACACAGTCGCTCACCCACCCACTCGCTCATCCACTCATTCACCGATAGGAGTCAGAGTGAAGCAGCAGTCGGGGTGACCGATGATCCACCGCTCGGGAGTGGCACCGCTCACTCACCGACGGTTCAGGCGCCTCATTACCACTCTTCTATAGCTGCTGCCCTGGTTCCTGGTTGCCAGGACGGGCGGCTGTGAAGGGGGGCTTGCTTGGTGTGGGGCTCTAACAGCAGGCGCTGTAGGCACCGGCGCTGGTGGTGCTTGATTCCGTGTCCCCGAGTGAATGGGGCCTGGGGCAGAGGAAGCGAAGGTGTTTGGCTGGATGTGCCACGCATGTGCGTGAGTGCAGGGGTGGGTTTACGATCCGTACAGCGCCACATATTCCGGTTTTTACGACAGTATTGCTACTTTTCAGCCCGTGCGTGTGTACGCGTGTGTACGTGTGTGTGTGTGTATATGGGGTAGGAAGCGGTAGTGTAGCAGTTATCACGCTGCGCTGTGAACCTGGCGACCCAAGTTTAATTCGCACTCAAGGCGAACACCAGTGGCGATTATCTGAATCGGTCCTGGGCCTCCTGTATGTTGACGCAGCCTCAAATGAGTACCTGGTGCGAGGTGTAAACATCGCCACTGGGGAGACAAAGGCGTCCGGGCGTGGTGCTGGCCACCCACCCCCCACGTGTGCCGTGCCGGCCTTCACAGGTGCTACTCGCTAACAGCATTTGCCCCAACAGTCTGTTAAGGCTACATGGGGGATCTTTGTCTTTGTATGTGCGTGTGCAGGACTGAGAAGACAGAGGTTCTTAGCGATGAACTCCTCAAGGTAGGGTTCATCTACACACACCATTACCCATCATCACACGCACACCATTACCCATCACCACACACACACCATGACCAATCACCACATGCACACCATCACCCATCACCACATGCACACCATCACCCATCACCACACACACACCATCACCCATCATCACACGCACACCATCACCCATCATCACACGCACGCCATTACCCATCACCACACACACACCATTACCCATCACCACACACACACCATGACCAATCACCACATGCACACCATCACCCATCACCACACACACACCATCACCCATCATCACACGCACATCATCACACACGCACACCATCACCCATCATCACACGCACACCGTTACCCATCATCACACACACACCATCACACACCATCACCCATTATCACAAACTCAGAACACCGTCCAAATTTTGCCAAATCTTACAAACGTCACCACAATTCACTCACTTGAACTACAGTGCGGTACAGTACACGAAACAGAGTCCCCTTCTGCGGTAGATCGCGTGGTCAAATCCTGGTAGGGGGGGGGGCGGTGGAGGGGGTGGTGATGATTCAGCCCATCATCTCTGGGCGGGGGGTCGTTAAAATGAGTACCGCTTTGTGGGGAAGTTAACAGTGGCTGTGCTATGGATAGACTCGAGTCTCGCCCCCCATATGAATGTTTCATTTCCGCTGCTGGCCCAGAGCACAAGTTCAGTTCTCAGTTAAGCAGGAAATGACTGATTTTAGATTTATCTCCAAGTTGGTTATGTGTACACAGAAAGTCTGCCAGTCTCTGTGTGAGTCTATGGCTCTCTGTGTGAGTCTGTGGGTCTCTGTGTGAGCCTGTGGGTCTCTGTGTGAGTCTTTGAGTCTCTGTGTGAGTCTATTGGTCTCCGTGTGAGTCTGTGAGTCTCTGTGTGAGTCTGCGGGTCTCTGTGTGAGTCTGCGGGTCTCTGTGAGTATATGGGTCTCCATGTGAGTCTGTGTGAGTCTGTGAGTCTCTGGGTGAGTCTGTGGGTCTCCATGTGAGTCTGTGTGAGTCTGTGAGTCTCTGTGTGAGTCTGTGGGTCTCTATGTGAGTATATGGGTCTTCATGTGAGTCTGTGGGTCTCCGTGTGAGTGTGGATGTCTGTGTGAGTCTGTGGGTCTCTGTGTGAGTCTGTGGGTCTCTGTGCGAGTCTGTGAGTCTTTGCGTGAGTCTATGGGTCTCCGTGTAAGTCTGTGAGTCTCTGTGTGAGTCTATGAGCCTCTCTCTGTGAGTCTATAGGTCTCTGTGTGAGTCTGTGGGTCACTGTGCGAGTCTGTGAGTCTTTGCGTGAGTCTATGGGTCTCCGTGTAAGTCTGCGAGTCTCTGTGTGAGTCTATGAGCCTTTGTGAGTCTCTAGGTCTCTGTGTGAGGCTGTGGGTCTCTGAGTCTTTGGGTCTTTGGGTCTATGTGCGAGTCTGTGGGTCTGTCTCTGTGAGTCTATGGGTCTCTGTGTGTGTGTCACTGTGTCTGTGTGTCGCGGTAGTGTAGCGGTTAGGTTCATAGCTGTGCAACCCGAGTTCAATTCCCGCTCACGGCCAACACCAGCGAAGATTATCTGAACCAGTCCTGGGCATCTCCTAGGTAGACTCATCCTCAAATGAGTAGCTGGTGCGATGTGTAAACATCGGCACTCGGGAGACAAAGGCGGCCGGGCGTGGTACTGGCCACCCACCCCCTCGTGTGCCGTGCCGGCCTTCATAGGTGCTACTCGCTAACAGCACTTGCCCCTACAGTTTGTTAAGGCTACATGGGGATCTTTGTCTTTGTGTCTCGATCTGACAGTCTGTGTGCTTATGTCACTCTGAGTTTCTAACTGACTGTGTCGCTCTGTGTATGTGTGTCTGTGTGTCACTGTGTAAATGTTCATTTGAGCAGGAAATGACTTTAACTTGACTGTGTGTGTATGTGGAAGTGCAGCAGTAAGCTCACTGCGCTATGAACCCTGCGGTCTAAGTTCGATTCTCGCTCGCGTCCAACACCAGTGACGATTATCTGAACCTGTCCTGGGCCTCCCCTAGGTCGACTCAGCCTCAAATGAGTACCTGGTGCGGTGTGTAAACATCGCCACTGGGGAGACAAAGGCGGCCGGCCGTGGTGCTGGTCCACCCACCTGCTTGTGCGCCGTGCTTGCCTTACTAGTTGCTGCTGCTCGCTAACGGCACTTGCCCCAACAGTCTGTTAAAGGCTACGCGGGGGACCTTTGTCTGTGTGCCTGCGTAGGTGGAGAAGAGGCTGGAGAGCCTCAAGATGGTTTTCAACCACGCGCACAAGAAGCTGAGCGGCTGCCTCCACGGAACCCCGGGGCTCGAACTCGATAAGAGATTGGTGAATGCTGACTCCACCTCCACACGCGGAGATGCCCAGAACCTTCAGCAGGCCTACAGCCTTAACCCTGTAGACTCACACGGAGAACCATAGCCTTAGGTAGGCCTACAGCCTTACCCCGTAGACTCACATGGAGACACATAGACTTCAGGAGGCCTACAGCCTTACCCCATAGATTCACACGGAGACCTATAGCCTTCAGGAGGCCTACAGCTTTACCCCGTAGACTCACATGGAAGACCCATAGCCTTCAGGAGGCCTACAGCTTTACCCCGTAGACTCACACCGAGAACCATAGCCTTAGGTAGGCCTACAGCCTTACCCCGTAGCCTTAAGCAGACCTACACCCTTACCCCGTAGACTCACACGGAGACCCATAGCCTTCAGGAGGCCTACAGCCTTACCCTGTAGACTCACACGGAGACCCATAGCCTTCAGGAGGCCTACAGCTTTACCCCATAGACTCACACGGAGAGACCCAAAATTCTCACATGGAGATACGTAGACTGGCACAGAGACCCAATGACTGGCACAGAGACCCATTGCCTCACACAGAGACCCAATGGCTCACACAAACTGAGCTGTACACCAAAAAAAAATCACGTTACATTTGGTTCTGCATTTAATTTGGGGACTTTCCGGCACCGAAAATGAAAAGAAAGCGGTTTGACTGTCACAAGGTGAGCATCACTCTCAAATGGCAGAGCGGCTGGGACAGTGCTGCCCTCTGCTGCGTGTAGAGAGCGTGCTACACTACCGCCCCTCACAGAAACACAAAGCCAAAGATCCCCCGTATAGCCTTTGATAGACTGTTGGGGCACGTGCTGTTAGCGAATAGCGCCTATGAAGGCCGTCACGACACACAAGGGGGTGGGTTTTCCAGCGCCACGTCCTGCCGCCTTTGTCTCCCCAGTGGCGATGTTTTTACACACGCAGCACTTGCCCCAGCAGTCTGTTAAAGGCTACACGGGGGGTCTTCGTCTTTGCGTGTGAGCGTCTGCGCGAGTGGCAAACCGTGCCGAGGGCTGAGTCAGAGCTGTTGTGATAGTGTCATTTGTAAACAGTTGTTTATCAATGTGTCTGTATATATCTACCTCTGTGTAAGCCCTTGCTAGTTTAACAGGCGTTGCGGCATGCCTGTACGTGCCTGTACGTGCCTGTACGTGCCTGTACGTGCCCGGGTGTGTGTGCGTGTGTGTGGTGAGTGTGGGGAGCGGTTGTGTAGCGTTTAGCGCGCTGCGCTGCGAACCGGCCGACCCGAGTTCGATTCCCGCTCACGGCCACCAACACCAGTGACGATTATTGGTCCTGGGCCTCCCCTAGATCGACTAAGCCTCAAATGAGTACCCGGTGCGGTGTGTAAACATCGCCGCTTGGGAGACAAAGGCGGCCGGGCGTGGTGCTGGCCACCCAACCCCTTGTGTGCCGTGCCGGCCTTCATAGGCGCTGCTCGCTAACAGCAACTTGCCCCACAAAGTCCGTGAAGGCTTTATGGGGGATCCTTTGTCTTTGCTTTATGTTCACGTGGTCTCAAAGTGGACCTGGCCTGGCACAGGCACCGTGGTGACGTCACTGGCACTTAGTGGCAAAGGCGCGTGTTGTTGTTGTGTCGTGTGTTTTAACATGTGTGTGCGTGTGTTAACGTGTGTGTGCGTGTGTTGACGTGCGCGTGTGTTAACGTGTGTGTTAACGTGTGTGTGTTAACGTGTGTGTGCCGTGTGTGTTGACGTGTATGTGTGTTAACGCGTGCGTGTGTTAACGCGTGTCTGCCGTGTGTGTTGACGTGTGTGTGTTAACACGTGCGTGTTTTTAACGCGTGCGTGTGTTAACGTGTGTGTGCCGTGTGTGTTGACGTGTGTGTGTGTTAACGCGTGCGTGTGTTAACGCGTGTGTGTTTTAACGTGTGTGTGCCGTGTGTGTTGACGTGTGTGTGTTAACGTGTGTGTGCCGTGTGTGTTGACTTGTGCGTGTTAACGCGTGCGTGTGTTAACGTGTGTGTGTTGACGTGTGTGTGTTGACGTGTGTGTGTTAAGGTGTGCGTGTGTTAACGCGTGTGTGCGTGTGTGCCTTGTGTGCGGTACAGAAGAGGGTGCCAGTGGCGGTGCTCGCCGTGGATTTGTCGGACAGCTACCGCACACTCGAGGACATGCCCTTTGGGTGAGCCCGCACGCACACACATAGCTACACACACATAGCTACACACATAGCTACACACACACAGCTACACACACACATAGCTACACACACACAGCTACACACACATAGTTACACACACACAGCTACACACACATAGCTACACACACACAGCTACACACACATAGCTACACACACACAGCTACACACACATAGCTACACACACACAGCTACACACACATAGCTACACACACACAGCTACACACACATAGCTACACACACATAGCTATACACACACATATATAGTGACACACACACACACACAGCTACACACAAATATACCCCGTGTAGCCTTAACAGACTGTAGGGGCAAGTGCTGTTAGCGAGCAGCACCTATGAAGGCCGGCACGGCGCACGAGGGGGTGGGTAGCCAGCACCGCGCCCGGCCGCCTTTGTCTCCCCAGTGGCGATGTTTACTCACCACACTGGGTACTCATTTGAGGCCGAGTCAACCTAGGGGAGGTTCCAGGACCGGTTTGGATAATCGTCACTGGTGTCGGCCGTGAGTGGGGAATCGAACCCGGGTCTCTTGCCGGGTTCGTAGCGCGGCGTAGCGCTAACCGCCACGCCACCGCTCCCCACACACACACAGACACACACACACACACAACCAACATGCACCACACACACACAAGCGACATGCACCACACACACACACACACAACCAACATGCACCACACACACACACACACAACCGACATGCACCACACACACACACAACCGACATGCACCACACACACACACACACAACCGACATGCACCACACACACACACACACAACCGACATGCACCACACACACACACACACAACCGACATGCACCACACACACACACACACAACCGACATGCACCACACACACACAACCGACATGCACCACACACACACACACACAACCGACATGCACCACACACACACACACACAACCGACATGCACCACACACACACACACACAACCGACATGCACCACACACACACACACAACTGACATGCACCACACACACACACACACAACCGACATGCACCACACACACACACACACAACCGACATGCACCACACACACACACACACAACCAACATGCACCACACACACACACACACAACCGACATGCACCACACACACACAACCAACATGCACCACACACACACACACGCTCGCTCGCTCACGCCCTTCGTACGCGAGCCCTCTCCACTCCCCTCCATCCGTGACCTCTAGGGCCCCGTGACGTCATCACCACAGGAGTGTGCCAATCCTTCCCCGAGTCGCCCGCAAGCGGTAAATAAAATGAGAAACGTTAAACATTTACCGGAGCTGAAGGTAGAGACAGAATTCACGTCTCATGGAGGAGGGGGTGGGGGCGGGGGATGGGGGGTGAGGGGGCGTGGCCCTGCCCTAGCGTAAACTGGGTTCTCAAGTGCAGTTGACAGTGAGACCCACAGACTCACACAGAGACACATAGAATCACACAGAGACCCATAGACTCACACAAAGACCCATAGACTCACACAGAGACACATAGACTCACACAAAGACCCATAGACTCACTCAGGGAGCCATAGACTCGCACAGAGACCCATAGACTCACACAGAGACACATAGACTCACACAAAGACCCATAGACTCACTCAGGGAGCCATAGACTCGCACAGAGACACATAGACTCACACAAAGACCCATAGACTCACACAGAGACACATAGACTCACACAGAGACCCACAGACTCGCACAGAGACACATCGACTCACACAAAGACCCATAGACTCACACAGAGACACATAGACTCACACAAAGACCCATAGACTCACTCAGGGAGCCATAGACTCGCACAGAGACCCATAGACTCGCACAGAGACCCATAGACTCACACATAGACCCATAGACTCACACATAGACCCATACACTCACACAGAGACCCATAGACTCGCACAGAGACCCATAGACTCGCTCAGAGACCCATAGACTCACACAGAGACCCATAGACTCACACAGAGACCCATATACTCGCTCAGAGACCCATAGACTCACACAGAGACCCATAGACTCGCACAGAGACCCATAGACTCGCACAGAGACCCATAGACTCACACACAGGGGCGGAGCCAGGGGGGGTGACAGGGGTGACATTCTGAGTATAAGTGTACGACACTCGGTCTGGTGGACTCCGTGCAACTGCATTGTCAGTGTGTCGCCAACCGATGGCGTCTAGTTCAACAGCCCGACTCTCTAATCATTCTTGAAATTAAAATTTGTTGAATGTCACCCCGGCCTGAAATCCTGGCTCCGCCCCTGCTCACACAGAGACCCATGGACTCGCACAGAGACCCATAGATTCACACAGAGACCCATAGACTCACACAGAGACCAATAGACTCACACAGAGACATATATACTTACACAGAGACCTATAGACTCACACAGAGACACATATACTTACACAGAGACCCATAGACTGATAGAGACATATAGACTCACATAGAGACCCATAGACTCGCACACAGACCCATTGACTCACGTAGAGACCCACGGACTGATAGAGACATATAGACTCATACACTCACACACAGACCCATAGACTCACTCGAGACCCATGGACTGACACAGACTGAGCAGTGATTAAACGGGGTTCTCAAGTGCAGTGAGTTGAGGCTCTTGGCCCAGTCACCAATGAGTGCACAAAAAACCCTGTCTCGTCAAAAATGTTGTTCTGCACTTTATTCCAGCTCCGAGAAAGTTAGCAGAGAGCCGGTTGACTGCCACGGGAGAAGCAATTGCAGTCGTCCCTCGGCTCACGAGTTTCTGTTATCCCTTCCACGAAAACTAATTGTTAACCGAAATGGCTGTTCATCGAAAACATCAAAATCACCGAGTCGGCAGGAGAGCCGTTTCCGCTGCCAAAACAGACGGCCTACAATGTCAGCGGAGCCACAGTCGAGGTCTCAACGCTCGTAAATGGGCGTCGCCGATTGGCCGAGGGCGTGGACTCAGCCCCACTAACGAGCGCTCGGATTGGCCGAAATCTGGCGCCCCGCGTGCACAGCGTAAACGCGCCGTCAGTCAACACGTTAACGTCAGTCAACACGTTAACGTCAGTCAACACGTTAACGTCAGTCAACACGTTAACGTCAGTCAACACGTAAACGTCAGTCAACACGTTAACGTCAGTCAACACGTTAACGTCAGTCAACACGTTAACGTCAGTCAACACGTTAACGTCAGTCAACACGTTAACGTCAGTCAACACGTTAACGTCAGTCAACACGTTAACGTCAGTCAACACGTTAACGTCAGTCAACACGTTAACGCGCCGTCAGTCTACACGTTAACGTCAGTCAACACGTAAACGTCAGTCAACACGTTAACGTCAGTCAACACGTTAACGCGCCGTCAGTCTACACGTTAACGTCAGTCAACACGTAAACGTCAGTCAACACGTTAACGTCAGTCAACACGTTAACGCGCCGTCAGTCAACACGTTAACGTCAGTCAACACGTTAACGTCAGTCTACACGTTAACGTCAGTCAACACGTTAACGTCAGTCAACACGTTAACGTCAGTCAACACGTTAACGCGCCGTCAGTCAACACGTTAACGCACCGTCAGTCTACACGTTAACACGCCGTCAGTCAACACGTTAACGTCAGTCAACACGTTAACGTCAGTCAACACGTAAACGTCAGTCAACACGTTAACGTCAGTCAACACGTTAACGTCAGTCGACACGATGGGGTCACTGTGGGAGGCGAAACGTTAACTGAAAAACCGTGAACCGATGTCACCATTAACCGAGGGACTACCCATGCACTGGCAGGGCGGGTGGCACATTGCTGCCCTGTGTGGAGCCCGACTCACTCAGCTACTCCGATAACACTGCTGCTACCACTGCTGCTGCTACTACTGCTGCTGCTACTACTGCTGCTGGTACCGCTGTTACTGCTGCTACTGCTGCTGCTACTACTGCTGCTGGTACCGCTGTTGATGCTGCTACTACTGCTGCTACTGCTACTACTGCTGCTACTACTACTGCTGCTGGTACCGCTGTTACTGCTGCTACTGCTGCTGCTACTACTACTGCTGCTGATACCGCTGTTACCGCTGTTGATGCTGCTACTGCTGCTACCACTGCTGCTAATACTACTGCTGCTGGTACCGCTGTTGGTGCTGCTACTACTGCTGCTGCTACCACTGCTGCTAATACTACTACTGCTGCTGGTACCGCTGTTGATGCTGCTACTGCTGCTGCTACCACTGTTGCTAATACTACTACTGCTGCTGCTACTACTGCTGCTGGTACCGCTGTTGGTGTTGCTACTGCTACTACTGCTGCTGCCACTGCTGCTACCGCTGTTGGTGCTATAACTGCTGCTGCTACTGCTCTTGCTACTGTTGTTGGTGCTACTATTGCTGCTACTGCTGTTTGTGCGGCTACTGCTGTTGATGATACTGCTGCTTCTAATGCTGCTGCTATCATTGCTGCTTCTCCTCCCGCTGCTGTTGCGTCGCGGCCCACAGCAAGGTGCTGCAGCAGTGCGGGGAGGCGCAGCTGAACCTGGCGATGGAGGTGTGCAACATGGAGACCAACGTGGAGACCAACGTCCTGGAGCCCATCAACCTCTTGGCCGAGGTGACGGCCCCCCCCACCGCCCTCCTTCCTTCCCCCACGGACCCCCCACGGACCCCCCACGGACCCCCCCCCCCATATACACCCCCACGGATTCTCGCGGACCCCCACTGACTACCCAGGCAACCCCTCGATACCCCCCCCCCCCCCCACGGATCCCTCCCGACTCTTGAGGACATTCCCGACCGCCAGAGATCCCTAGACCCCACGGACCCCTGTGGACCACACAAGGAACCCCACCGACCGCTACGGACCCCCTCCCACCCCCCCCCCCCCCCCCCCCCCCCCACGGACCCTCTCCGACCCCTATGTACCCCCATGCACCCCCCACAGACCCCCCGCGGATTTAATAGAAAGGTTTCCATCTCTACCACTATGGGTATCTATGGGGGTCTATGGGTCTCCGTGTGAGTCTGTGAGTTTCTATGGGAGTCTATGGATCATTGTGCGAGTCAATGGGTCTGTGTGAGTCTACGAGTCTCTATGTGAGTATATGGGTCCCTCTGTGAGTCTATGGGTCTCTGTGTGAGTATATGGGTCCCTCTGTGAGTCTATGGGTCTCTATGTGAGTCTATGGGTCTCTATGTGAGTATATGGGTCCCTCTGTGAGTCTATGGGTCTCTGCGTGAGTCTACGAGTCTCTATGTGAGTATATGGGTCTCTGTGTGTGTCTATGGGTCTCTATGCGAGTCTATGGGTCTCTGTGCGAGTCTATGGGTCCCTCTGTGAGTCTATGGGTCTCTGTGTGAGTCTATGAGTCTCTCTGTGAGTCTACGGGTCTCTGCGTGAGTCTATGGGTCCCTCTGTGAGTCTATGGGTCTCTGTGTGAGCCTACGAGTCTCTATGTGAGTATATGGGTCCCTCTGTGAGTCTGAGTCTATGGGTCTCTGTGTGAGTCTATGGGTCTCTGTGTGAGTCTATGGGTCCCTCTGTTAGTATATGGGTCTCTGTGTGAGTCTATGGGTCTCTATGTGAGTCTATGGGTCCCTGTGTCAGTCTATGGGTCCCTTTGTGAGTCTATGGGTCTCTACGTGAGTCTATGGGTCTCTATGTGAGTATATGGGTCCCTCTGTGAGTCTATGGGTCCCTGTGTGAGTCTATGGGTCTCTGCGTGAGTCTTCGAGTCTCTGTGAGTCTATGGGTCCCTCTGTGAGTCTATGGGTCTCTATGTGAGTCTATGGGTCCCTCTGTGAGTCTATGGGTCCCTCTGTGAGTCTATGGTCTCTATGTGAGTCTACGAGTCTCTATGGGAGTCTATGGGTCTCTGTGTGAGTCTATGGGTCTCTGCGTGAGTCTATGGGTCCCTGTGTGAGTCTATGGGTCTCTGCGTGAGTCTATGAGTCTCTATGGGAGTCTATGGGTCTCTGTGTGAGTCTATGGGTCTCTGCGTGAGTCTATGGGTCTCTGTGTGAGTCTATGAGACCCCCCCCCCGGTGTAAACGCTGTGGTTGGGACTGGAACCCGCGATGTCGATGGCGCCGGTTGCTCTGCGCCTCTGAGCCACGCTGAGCCTCCTCCTCTCTCCCCCGTGCCCTCTGACCCCGCAGGAGCACATCCCCAACATCCAGAAGCAGAGGAAACATCTCAGCAAGATGGTGCTGGACATGGAGGGCGCCAAGTCCAGGTGGGACCCAGTGACACGCGACCCACCTCCACACGCGTGTGTGCATGTGTGTGTGCGTGTGTGTGTGTGCGTGTGTGTGCACGTGTGTGTGTGTGTGTGTGCACGTGTGTGTGTGTGTGTGCGTTGGGAGCGGTAACGTCGCCCTTGGCGCGCTGCACTATGAACCCGGCAACCCGAGTTCGATTCCTGATCGCGTTCAATATCAATGACAGACATCTGAACCAGTCCTGGAGCGCAGATGTCCCAACCGGTTCTTCCTGGCGTGGTGTAATCAACATCGCCCCCCACCCCCTCGTGTGCTGTGCCGGCCTTCATTGGTGCTCGCTGACAGCACTTGCCCCAACAGGCTATCTGGGGGATCTTTGTCTTTGTGTGCGCGAGTGTGTACGTACGGGCATGATTGACGGACTTCTCCCTCCTTCCCCTCCCTCTCCCTCCCTCTCCCCGCCCCCCCCTCCCTCCCTGCAGGTACCAGCAGGCCTCCAAGGTGCTGCAGGGCAACGTGGGGGCAATGACGCCCAGCAAGCTGGAGGCGCTGCGCGAGGAGATGGAGGAGGAGGAGAACAAAGTGGAGATCATGAAGGTGCCGTGCCCTCCCTCGGCAGCATCGCCGCGCTGCTACCCCTCCCCTCCCATAAGCAGCAGCGTGCCCCGCGTCACGGAGGGGAGGCACGCCCCCAGGGCCTTCCCCGAGGGGGAGGGAGGGGAGGAGGTGGGGGCCCGTCTGGGGAGGGGCCTCCCTCTCCCTCCCCTCTCCCTCCCCTCTACCCCGTCACCAACTCTCGCCCCGCTCGCAAATCTACCCGTCGGAGTCTGTATTTAGACTCGAGGAGGAATCCGATGAGCTATGAAGCTCTTTTTCGCGGAGGTTCAGCAGGGGCACGGGGGTCAGCAAGTTGTCCCATCAGCTGCCGTCTCCTGCCCTAGCTCCCACCTCCCCCCTCTACCCGGTCCCTCCCCCCTGCCTCCCTCCAGCTGTCCCTGTGTGGCTGTGTCTGTGAGACACAGCAGCAGACACAGCCTCAACAGCAGCAGACACAGCCTCACGCGGTAGTTTCACAGTAGGCGGGGGGGGGGGGGGGCGTCGTGGCTGCTGTCTGGCCCGCCCTAGGAGGCACCCCCAGTGACAGCCGTCCCTGTGCGGCAGAAGTGTGAATCATCACGCGGGGAGGCGACGCCGCCGCCGCCGCTGCGTCTCACAGACGCCGGCTGCCACCGTACTGAACGCTCGTGCGGAGACCGCTCCCGGTACAAAGTCCGCCCCAGTGGTTACGGCCTGCCGGCTCGCCACGCGACCCTTGACCCCCCTCCCTCGTGCGCACCGCCGCCCTCCTTGGAGTGTTGCCCCCTCACCCCCCCCGCCTCACCGCCACAGCCCCAGGTCGTGGGTGATTCCCTCCCGAGAGACACTGTGGGGTAGGTGAATGAGTAGGTAAACTGGTGGGTAGGTGAGTGAGTAGGTGAATAGTTAAGTGAAGTGAATGAGTCGGTGAGTAGTTGATTGAGTGGGTAGGTGAGTAGGTATGCTAGTGAGCAGGTGAGTGGGTAAGTAAGTAGTTGAGTGAGTAGGTGAGTCAGTAAGGAGGTGAGTAGGTATGCTAGTGAGTAGTTGAGTGGGTAAGTAAGTAGTTGAGTGAGTAGGTGAGTCAGTAAGGAGGCGAGTAGTAGGGTGCCACTGATTAGAATCACAGAGTAGAGACAGAGAAGAGGAGATGTGGACCCTGAGCGAGGAGTTGAGTGGACAGGTGTGTGGGTGAGCAGGTGAGTAGGTAAGTAGTTGAGTGAGTAGTTGAGTCAGTAAGGAGGCGAGTAGTAGGGTGCCACTCGACACACACAGAGTCACGGTGTGGAGGCATAGACACGGAGTGGAGGAGGAGGGAGGGGGGAGACGCGGAGCGGCCGTGCAGAGGAACCGAGAGTCCAAGGAGGTTCTCAGCTCTTGACTTGTGCAGAGGAAGTAACGACGTGGAGAGGAGGGGAAGACCCCAGACAGCCCGAGGCCTTTCTCCCCATGTGCTGCGCGTCTGGTTGCACCCCGACGCACGCGCAGAAAGCCGCTTGGGTGAGGAAGCGAACCCAGGCCCCTCTTGCCGTGAGCCGCGAGCATGACCCACCAGCCCCTCCGCCCTTGTCGTCTCTCGCGCGTTCGCCCGGTCGCACCAAACGCGCTTGATGCTTGTGACTTGCCTTCCCTACTCCTGCTGTCTGCCTACACCCCCTTTTCTCTCTGTCTCTCTCTGTCTGTCTCTGTCTCTCTCTGCCTCTGTGTCCCCCGTGCTGCGATAACTACTACGCCACCACCAGTGACGATTATTTGAAGCGGTCCTGGGCCTCCCCTAGGTCGACTCAGCCTCAAATGAGTGCCTGGTGCGGTGTGTAGTAAACGTCGCCACTGGGGAGACAAAGGCGGCCGAGCGTGGTGCTGGCCACCCACCCCCTCGTGTGCCGTGCCGGCCTTCATAGGTGCTCGCTGAAAGCACTTGCCCCAACAGTCTGTTAAGGTTCTTTGTCTTGGTGTTCTGTGTGGGTGGCTAGGACCAGTATGCCACGGAGCTCTACCAGTTCGTGGCCAAGGAGAAAGGCTTTGCCGACTACTTTGTCAAGGTGAGCGCCGCACGCACACGCACGCTCGCACGCACACACGCACACACACACGCACACACACACACACGTGTGTGCACACAGAGATAAAGACAACATCCCCCAGTATAGCCTTAACAGACTGTTGGGTGCTGTTAGCGAGCACCTATGAAGGCCGGCACGGCACACGAGGGGGTGGGAGGCCAACATCACGCCCGGCCGCCTTGGTCTCCCGAGTAGCGGTGTTTACACACCGCACCGGGTACTCATTTCAGGCTGAGTCGACCTAGGCGAGGTCTAGGACCGCTTCAAATGATCGCCACTGGTGTTGGCCGTGAGCGGGAATCGAACCCGGGTCGCCAGGTTCATAGCGCAGCGCGCTAACCGCTACACACACGCACAACAACAACCAGATGGAAATTCCTCAGGTACAGCTATTGAAGGCTTCACGAACTACGTGGTTGAAATAGATGTCAATGTGGGAGCCAGAGGGCATCCCTGTCGCACCCCAAAGTGAACAGGGAATGGCTCCGACTCCCGGCCACGTAGTTTTACCCGGGCCCGCTCACCATCATGAAGGTCCTTAATGATCGTGAGCAGAGGGTCAGGGACTCCAAAAGCACGAAGAACAACCCAGAGCCCAGGCCTGCTGATGGTATCATAGGCCTTGACGAGGTCAATAAAGCAGAGATGTAGGTCTTGTTGGAATTCCCTATACCTCTGCTGTAGCAGATGGACAGAAAATATGGCATCTGTGCAGGACCACCCTTTCCTGAAACCGCATTGGGGCTCCGCAAGCCTCTCCTCAGCGTGCTTGGCATGGCAAAGTTGAATAATCCTTGCCAAGACCTTTCCTGGCACACTAAAGAGTGAGATGCCCCTGTAGTTGTTACAGTCTGTGCGGTCCCCCTTCTTAAAGAGGAGGGGGACCACCAGGGCATCCTTCCAATCTTGCGGAACCCGTCCAGTGGTCCAGACTGTTATGATGTCTTGTAGTGCAGTGTGTGCACAAACGCCACCCTCTCTCAGCATTTCGCTTGGGAGATCATCTCTGCCCGGTGCCTTTCCTGGTCTCAGACTCTGTATCACCTTCAGTACTTCCTCAACAGATGGCACCTCAGCTGGCCACTCACAGGGGTTGACTTCCTCCAATATTTGAGGCACCGCAGCCTCAGCAGGGTCACATCCCCACTTTGTCCCACGTTTTCCTGGCTGAGGGATTTCCCCTCCCCCAGGACCTCACAGATATGCTCAGCAAATCTGCAAACATGTTCCTGGGGGTCGGAGATTGGATCACCGTTCTTTCCCCTAATGATGGTACTAGGTGTGGCGCTGCCGGTTACGCATACGCACAACATACACACACGCACGCACATACACGAACACACGCGCACAACGAGGACACGCACAATGGTGGCGGTGTGTGACGTGCTGACGTGTGTGTTCATGTCCCCGTGTCTCTGTGCAGCTCCTGGAGACGCAGGCCGACTTCCACAAGAGGTCCTTGGCTGTCATCGAGACTCTCCTGCCCAAGATCACAGCCGAGAGAGGTGAAGCTCCCTCACTACCTCCCTCTTCCAGCCCTTGGATTGTGTGTGTGTGTGACCGTGTGTGGTTGTGATTGTCTTTTGACGTGGGGAGCGGTGGTGTAGCAGTTAACGCTACGCTGCGCTACGAACCCGGCATCCCGGGTTCGATCCCCAATCACAGCCAACACTGGTGAAGATCATCAGAACCCGGTCCTGGGCCTCCCCTAGGTCGATTCAGCCTCAAATGAGTACCCGGTGCGGTGTGTAGTAAACATCGCCACTGGGGAGACAAAGGCGGCCGGGCGTGGTGCTGGCCACCCATCCCCTAGCGTGCCACAGTGCCGGCCTTCACAGGTTCTGTTATTCGCTTACAGCACTTGCCCCTACAGTCTGTTAAGGCTACACGGGGGATGTTTGCCTTTGCGTGTGTGTGTGTCTCAGAGCACTGCGTGCGTCCCTGCTACGGGCAGCCGCTGGAGGAGCACCTGCAGCTGAGCCGACGGGACATCGCCTTTCCCATCGAGGCCTGCGTCGTGGCACTCATGGACACCGGCCTGCAGGAGGAGGTGAGAGCCCAGTGCGGGCAGCGGGCGATGGTGAGCGATGGGCGAGCGATGGGTGAGGTGTGTGTGCGAGGTGATGAATGTGCGTGTGTGTGTGTGTTTACTATGTACCACGGTGTGTGTACGTGTGTGTTTGACTATGTATCCATACCCGTCAACCCCTTATTAGTGCCCTATCTGATTAGAGACCAACTCAGACCTTATTGGTCACCCCGTACCCTGATAAATCTCAACATTCATCCTACAAAGTCCCATCACAAAGGAGAAACACAAACAAACATTAAAAAAAAATTCGCCCGCATTGAAATGGCTGTAACGTCGTATGGACCTGAAAACTCGATTTCCCTGTACAAGAATATGGGGTAAATCGTGTGTGTTGACACGGTGTGTGTGTGTGTATGCACGTGTGTGTGTGTACGTGTGTGTGTATGCACGTGTGTGTGTGTGTTGACACGGTGTGTGTGTATGCACGTGTGTGTGTTGACACGGTGTGTGTGTGTGTATGCACGTGTGTGTGTGTGTTGACACGGTGTGTGTGTGTATACGCGTGTGTGTGTGTATGCACGTGTGTGTGTGTATGCACGTGTGTGTGTGTATGCACGTGTGTGTGTGTGTATGCACGTGTGTGTGTGTGTTGACACGGTGTATGTGTATGCACGTGTGTGTGTGTGTTGACACGGTGTGTGTATGCACGTGTGTGTGTGTATGCACATGTGTGTGTGTGTTGACACGGTGTGTGTGTATGCACGTGTGTGTGTGTGTGTGCAGGGTCTGTTCCGGATCGCGGCTGCCAACTCGAAGCTGAAGAAGCTGAAAGCGTCGCTTGACTGCTGCATCGTGGAGTCGGACTTCTCCCCCGACCCCCACGCCATCGCCGGTCACTACGCACACACACAGATACACACACACAGATACACACACACACCTACACACATACACACACCTACACACATACACATACACACACCTACACACACATACACACACACAGATACACACACACAGATACACACACGCCTACACACATACACACACACCTACACACACACACCTACACACATACACACACACAGATACACACACACCTACACACACACCTACACACACACAGATACACACACCTACACACACACACAGATACACACAGATACACACACACACAGATACACACACACAGATATACACACACACAGATACACACACCTACACACACACCTACACACACACAGATACACACACCTACACACACAGATACACACACACAGATACACACACACAGATACACACACACAGATACACACACACAGATACACACACACCTACACACACACCTACACACACACAGATACACACACCTACACACACACAGATACACACAGATACACACAGATACACAACAACAACAACCGCCATTCGCCACTAAGTGGCGGTGACGTCACCACGACGCTTGTGCCAGGCTATGTGCACCCTGAGGCCACGTGAAGTGTCGAACGCCCGCCCGGTGAGCGGGCCTGCCTACGATCCAGCCTGGTTAAACCCAGGATGGATCGTAGGCAGGCTAGCCTAAATGTTTCTAACCGGCGAAGATGTTCCATTAGGGGGCGTCCACGTTTCGCAAACGTAGAGAAGGGAGGGAATGACCGTGGCCGAGAAGACCTGAAGCTTAGTGCGGAGCGACAGACCAGGTAGCTTCCACACAGCGTTACGCAACCGATGAAAAGATATTGCCGCTCGACTGATTCGGAGTGAGACCTCTGCTGTTAAACTGGAGCCGGTCATAAGCACACTGCCCAGGTATGGGAAACTCTCCACTCTCTCCACAACTGCCCCATCACCGATTGGGAGTTGTGGGGGTGGAGTGTCCGATGGTACAAAATACCCAGGCAGGTGCTTAGTTTTGGTGGGGCTGATGGTAAGGCCCCATCTCTTAGTGGCACGCTCCAGTCTCAGACCCAGGTGCCACGGGTCGACTGACTGAGATGACTGGCTGATGCACCACCTGTGCCCCCTACTGTGCCAACCTGCTGTGCTTTAGCCACCCGGCGTTCCGCTCGTTGTTGTGAGCGTCGCTCCTCCGCCCTCCGTTGTTGTTGGAGGGCGACTGCCTCCAACTGCCCAGTAGCGTCCTTCACGAGCCTCCTCCACAGAGGCCGATCTTGACACCGCTGGTACCAGTCATCGGCAAGTCCACTCAGCTCCACGTCCTCCTGTACCACGTCACTCCATCTCTTCTCCAGCACACACACACAGACTCCAATACCAACACCCGCCATTCGCCACCAAGTGACGGTGACGTCGCCACGGCGCCTGTGCCAAGCCACGTGGACGCGCAGAGAGACACACGGATACACGGACAGGAACAGGCACGAGGACTACCGCCACCCCTGCCCTCCCTTCACGGACTCTCTCCCTCTTCCCCCCTTTACAACGTCACTCTCCCTCCCCCCCCCCGTTACGTCCCCGCCGTGGCTGTAGGGGCTCTCAAGTCCTATATCCGTGAGCTGCCCGAGCCTCTCATGACCTTCCACCTCTTCACAGACTGGAGCAAGGCGTTCAGGTGGGGGGGGGGGGCACACTCACCTCTCGTACACTCGCCTCTGTTGCACGCTCGCCTGTTGTGTTCTCACCAACACCCCCTCCCGCCGTGTCACCGTGACCCCCCCGTGACCCCCCCCGTGACCCCCCCGTGACCCCCCCGTGTCTCTCCTGCAGCATGCCCGATCAGCAGGAGAGGCTGCAGGCGCTGTGGTCGGTGTGCGACCTGCTGCCCAAGGAGAACAAGGCCAACTTCCGGTGAGGAGACGACCTCGCAGTGACCTCGCTCAGCAAACTACGACCCCATCTCGACCTCGCCCAGCAGGCCACGCTAGAGCCTTGACCTCGCACAGCAGGCCACGCTAGAGCCTTGACCTCGCCCAGCAGGCCACGCTAAAGCCTTGACCTCGCCCAGCAGGCCACGCTCTAGCCTTGACCTCGCCCAGCAGGCCACGCTAAAGCCTTGACCTCGCCCAGCAGGCCACGCTAAAGCCTTGACCTCGCCCAGCAGGCCACGCTCTAGCCTTGACCTCGCCCAGCAGGCCACGCTGGAGCCTTGACCTCGCCCAGTGGGCCACGCTGCGGGTGGTGGGTGTCTGTGCGTCTGCGTGCAGGCTTTGATATGCGTTGCTTTGTCTGCGTGCCTGTGTGGGGAGTGGTGGCGCTGCGGTTGGCGCGCCGCTGCAACCTCGGCTTTGAGCGAGTACCCAACGTGGTGTGCACACATCGAGTACCCAACGCGGTGTGCACACATCGAGTACCCAACGCGGTGTGCATGAACATCGAGTACCCAACGCGGTGTGCACACATCGAGTACCCAACGCGGTGTGCATGAACATCGAGTACCCAACGCGGTGTGCATGAACATCGAGTACCCAACGCGGTGTGCATGAACATCGGCACCGGGGAGGCGAAGGCATCCCCGGTGCTCCACCCCCCCTCCATCAACGCGCCGCTCCGGCCTTCGCAGGCGCTCGCCCCGACGGCCGTGCGCCGGCTACGTGGGGGGAGCTTTGCCTCCGGCTGGCCGCCAGCGCCGGCGCGTTGTTGTGTTGCTGTGGCCCCGCCGCAGGTACCTGATGAAGTTCCTGGCGCGGCTCGCGGAGCAGCAGGAGTTTAACAAGATGACTCCCAGCAACATCGCCATCGTGCTGGGGCCCAACCTGCTGTGGGCCCCCACCTCCAGGTGGGCGACTCGCAACCACCGCTCGCTCCTCCGCCTCTCCGCGTTATAACGGGGGGGGGGGGGCGGCGGGGGGGCGCCCGGCGTTGTGTGAAAAGTGTTCCCGAATGGATTAACCACGTTGTATAAAACACTAAACATCAACCAGTTATAGTACACACAAGGCCCTTGTATGCACAACAGCTCACAATCATGTCTCCCCGTGTACACCCCCCCCTCCCCCGTGTCCTTCCCCCCCTCCCCCGTGTCCTCCCCCCCCCCTGTGTCCTCCCCCCCACCCCGTGTCCTGCCCCCTCCCCCCCGTGTCCCCCCCCCCCCCCCGTGTCCTGCCCCCCCCCCCCCCCACCGTGTTCCCCTGCGTGCCGCAGCTCCGTGGACGCGATGTCCAGCGTCTCTATCCAGGTGGTCGGCATAGTGGAGATGATGCTGCAGTACTCGGAATGGTTCTTCCCTGACGGTCGGTACCCCACTGCGTGTGCGTGCACTCGCGTGTGCCTGCGTGTGCCTGCGTGTGCCTGCGTGTGCCTGTGTGCCTGTGTGCCTGCGTGTGCGTGTACGTGTGCCTGCGTGTGTGCCTGCGTGTGCCTGCGTGCGTGTGCCTGCGTGCGTCTGCCTGCGTGCGTGTACGTGCGTCTGTCATGCTGGCCTTCGCAGGTGCTCGCTAACAGCACGTGCTCCTAGTCTGTTAAGGCTGTACGGAGAAATCTTTGTCTTTGTGTGCGCAGCCGACACCAGTGACGATTATCTGAACCGGTCCTGGGCCTCTCCTAGGTCGACTGGGCCTCAAATGAGTACCTGGTGTGGTGTGTAGTAACATCGCCACTGGGGAGACAAAGGCGGCCGGGCGTGGTGCTGGCCACCCACCCCCTCGTGTGCTGTGCCGGCTTCCATAGGTGCTCGCTAACAGCACTTGCCCCTACAGCCTGTTAAGGCTACACGGGGGATCATTTGAGTGCCGGATGGCTGTGGTCTCGGCCAATCCACCCTTTGTTTGTGTGCGAGTGCTTGAGTGATTGAGTGATTGAGTTCGACTCCCGCCCCCTGTCCTCACCACCTCCCTCCTCCGTCGCTAGAGGTGGAGTTCGACCAGACGGGAATCTTTGCGGCGGCGTCGCAGCTGCCGGCGGAGGGGCCGGGGGGAGCGCCGGCGGGGGGGGGTCACCTGCTGGCGCCTGGTGTCAACGGGGAGAGGCGAGGAGGAGGCGCCGAGGGGAGCCGCGCCCGGCCGCTCAGCGTGGCGACCGACAACGACCTGGCGCGCGAGCTGCACAAGAAGGACGGGTGAGCTCGCACGCGGACACAACGCACACGCACAACGCACGCACAACACGCACAACACACACAACACACACAACGCACGACACACACAACACACACACAACACACACAACACACACAACGCACGCACAACACACACAACACACACAACACACACACCGCACGCACAACGCACGCACAACACACACAACACACACAACGCACGCACAACACACACAACACACACAACGCACGCACAACACACACAACACACACAACACACACAACGCACGCACAACACGCACAACACACACAACACACACAACACACACAACACACCGCACGCACGACACACACAACGCACGCACAACACACCCCACGCACAACACGCACGACACACACAACACACACAACACACACACCGCACGCACAACACGCACGACACACACAACACACACAACACACACAACACACACGACACGCACGACACACACAACACACACAACACACACAACACGCACAACACACACAACACACACAACACACACAACACACACGACACACACAACACACACAACACACACGACACACACGACACACACGACACACACAACACACGCAACACACACAACTCACGCACAACACACACAACACACACAACACACACAACACACACAACACACACAACACACACAACGCACGCACAACACACACAACACACACAACACGCACAACACACACAACACGCACAACACACACAACACGCACAACACGCACAACACGCACAACACGCACAACACACACAACACACACCGCACGCACGACACACACAACTCACACAACGCACGCACAACACACACGACACACACAACACACCGCACGACACACCGCACGCACGACACACACAACACACACAACACACACAACACGCACAACACATGCACGACACACACAACACACACAACACACACAACACGCACAACACACCGCACGCACAACACACACAACACACACAACGCACGCACAACACACACAACACACAACACACTGCACGCACGACACACAACACACACAACACACACAACACACACAACACGCACAACACACGCACAACACACACAACACACCGCACGACACACACAACTCACGCACAACACACACAACACGCACGACACACACAACACACACAACACACACGACACACACAACACACACAACACGCACCTACACACACAACTCACGCCCTTATTGAGTCACACACACGCAGACAGCTGCTCTCTTGACCTGCCCGGGTGACGCTGCGTGTGCTGCGTCCCGTTACCGCCTGCCGCTGCCGCTGCCGGTCTCACCGCACTAACCGCACATCCCCCACGCGCACAGCTAGCGGGGGGGCGGGGAGAGGGGGGCTACCAGGGCAGGGTTAACCCACTCCTGTCTGTCTTCCCCGTTGCCACCCCCGCGCTCAGCTTTCGGAAAATACAAAGGTAACCCTTCCCCTCCCCGTCTCACGCCTTGCCTGGCCACCTCCCCCCACTTAACCACTCATCCCACTCATCATTAACCAGAGGGGGTCCTACGTTAGGAGACGGAGGGAGAGACGCACCGCGAGACCCGGGGGGGGTCGAGTCGTCCGCGAGGAGTCGGTGAGACACTGGGAGACGCCGAGGAGACACAGGGACATATAGAGAGACGCAGCAGGGAGACGCAGCAGGGAGATGCAGCAGGGAGACGCCGAGGAGACACAGCAGGGAGACGCAGCAGAGAGACGCAGCAGGGAGACGCAGCAGAGAGACGCAGCAGAGAGATGCAGCAGGGAGACGCCGAGGAGACAGAGGTACATATAGAGAGACGCAACAGATAGATCAGTGGTTCTTAACCTGGGTTCGATCGAACCCCAGGGGTTCGGTGAGTCGATCTCAGGGGTTCGGCAGAGCCCCCGCCACGGAGGTCCGGACACACTTGAATTATTGTGTAAATTTGTGATGACACACACGGCCCGCTTGGCCATCACTGGCTGCAGATGATCATGCTACACTGCTTGGCCAATCAGCGCTGCGGGGAATTTAGTGCGTACTCAGTAGTCAACGTGTGACTGTTGTTGTCGTACGTCGTGTGATTTCTTTAATATTTTATCCATACTAACTATGTCGGGCAAAAGAAGAAAGTGGTCGGACGAATATGTACAACATGGATTCTCATGTATCACGGAACGTGATGGGAGTGAGCGTCCTATCTGCATGATTTGCAACGCCAAGTTGAGCAACTCTAGTCTTGCACCGGCAAAACTAAAGGAACACTTCTTGAAGTTGCATGGAGACGGGGAATACAAGAACACAACACTTGCTGAATTCAGGGTGAAGAGAGCCAGATTCGATGAAAGGGCCACTCTGCCTGCTCTTGGATTTGTACCTGTTAACAAACCGATCCTGACAGCATCGTACGAAGTTGCTTACCTGATCGCAAAGCAGGGCAAGCCACACACCATTGGTGAAACACTTGTGAAACCAGCTGCATTAAAGATGGCGAATCTGATACTCGGAACAGCGGCCGAAGGCAAATTACCCCCAATTCCCCTTTCAAATGACACCGTCAGTGACAGAATAGAAGACATGAGTAAAGACATCTTGGCTCAAGTAGTCGCGGATCTGATTTCAAGCCCGGCAAAATTCAGCCTTCAACTCGACGAAACCACAGACGTTTCTGATCTAAGCCAGCTTGCTGTTTTTGTACGCTATGTGAAAGACGACATGACAAAAGAAGAGTTTTTATTTTGTAAGCCTCTTACAACAACAACGAAGACAGCCAATGTGAAGAAGCTTGTGGATGACTTCTTCAGAGACAACAATCTTTCATGGGATATGGTTTCTGCAGTTTGTACGGACGGAGCTCCAGTCATGCTGGGAAGAAAGTTTGGTTTTGGTGCGCTAGTAAAGGCCGATGCACCACACATCATTGTGACGCATTGTATTCTGCACAGGCATGCGTTGGCAACAAAAACCTTACCTCCAAAAATGGCAGAAGTATTAAAAACTGTGGTGGAATGTGTGAACTATGTGCGAAAAAGTGCTCTGAGGCACCGCATCTTCAGTGAGCTGTGTAAAGAAATGGGCTCTGAATTTGAGGTACTTCTGCTCCATTCTAATATTCGGTGGTTATCCCGGGGACAGGTGCTGAACCGTGTTTTTGCCATGCGTGTGGAATTAGCCCTGTTTTTGCAAGAGCACCAACACTGCCATGCAGATTGCTTCAAAAATCCTGAGTTCATTCTCATTTTAGCGTACATGGCTGATATATTCGCAGCTCTCAATCATCTCAATCAGCAGATGCAGGGTGGTGGAGTCAATATCATGGAAGCGGAAGAACACCTGAAGGCTTTTCAAAAAAAGCTACCGTTATGGAAACGACGAACAGAGAACAATAACTTCGCAAACTTCCCGCTTCTGGACGACTGTGCAAGTAAGATCGAAGATGTGTCTGGAATCGGAGATATTTCTGTATCCACGGAACTGAAGCAAACAATTGCCACGCACTTAGATGAGCTTGCAAAGTCTCTCGACGGATATTTCCCTACAAGAGAGTCATATCCAGCATGGGTGAGACAGCCGTTCACGTTTGCTGTTGAAACAGCAGATGTCAATGATTAATTCCTCGACGAAATCATTGAAATTCAGCAGAGCCAGGTTCAACAGCAACTCTTCAGAACAACAACGCTCTCAACGTTTTGGTGTCGACAAATGAACAAGTATCCAGTTATTGCTAAGAAAGCCCTGAATTTTTTTATACCATTTGTTACAACATATCTTTGTGAGCAATCCTTTTCGAGGATGCTGGACATAAAAACGAAGAAAAGGAACAGACTTTGCTGTGAAAATGACATGAGAGTGGCACTTGCCAAGGTGAAGCCACGCATATCTGAACTGATCTCTCAAAGGCAACAGCAGAAGTCACATTGATTTCCAGGTATGTAATTTGTTGTGAGTTTATGCATTGTGTTGGTTTTATTCTTTGAACAAGGTAATGTTCATGCACGGCTCATTTTGTGTACCAGTAAAAAACATATCTGTCTTGAATTTGAAAAAAATCACATTTTATTTTTCACTAAAGAGGGGTTCGGTGAATGCGCATATGAAACTGGTGGGGTTCGGTACCTCCAACAAGGTTAAGAACCACTGAGATAGATGCAGCAGAGAGACGCCGGGAGAACCGGAGAGGCAAGGAGACACAAGGAGACACGTAGAGACATGAGACACGTAGAGACATAAGGAGACACGTAGAGACACACGTAGAGACATAAAGAGACACGTAGAGACACAAGGAGACACATAGAGACAGAAGGAGATGCGTAGAGACATAAAGAGATACGTAGAGACACAAGGAGACACGTAGAGACACAAGGAGACACGTAGAGACACAAGGAGACACGTAGAGACATAAAGAGACACGTAGAGACACAAGGAGACACGTAGAGACACAAGGAGACGCGTAGAGACATAAAGAGACACGTAGAGACACAAGGAGACACGTAGAGACACAAGGAGACACGTAGAGACACAAGGAGACACGTAGAGACACAAGGAGACACGTAGAGACACAAGGAGACACGTAGAGACATAAAGAGACACGTAGAGACACAAGGAGACACGTAGAGACACAAGGAGACGCGTAGAGACATAAAGAGACACGTAGAGACACAAGGAGACACGTAGAGACACAAGGAGACACGTAGAGACACAAGGAGACACGTAGAGACACAAGGAGATACGTAGAGACACAAGGAGACACGTAGAGACACAAGGAGACGCGTAGAGACATAAAGAGACACGTAGAGACACAAGGAGACACGTAGAGACACAAGGAGACACGTAGAGACACAAGGAGACACGTAGAGACACAAGGAGACACGTAGAGACACAAGGAGACACGTAGAGACACAAGGAGACGCTTAGAGACATAAAGAGACACGTAGAGACACAAGGAGACACGTAGAGACACAAGGAGACACGTAGAGACACAGGGAGACACGTAGAGACACAAGGAGAGATGTAGAGACACAAGGAGACACGTAGAGACACAAGGAGACACGTAGAGACACAAGGAGACACGTAGAGACACAAGGAGACACGTAGAGACACAAGGAGACACGTAGAGACATAAAGAGACACGTAGAGACGTAAGGAGACACGTAGAGACACAAGGAGACACGTAGAGACGTAAGGAGACACGTAGAGACACAAGGAGACACGTAGAGACACAAGGAGACACGTAGAGACACAAGGAGACACGTGGAGACACAAGGAGACACGTAGAGACACAAGGAGACACGTAGAGACTTAAGGAGACACAAGGAGACACGTAGAGACACAAGGAGACACGTAGAGACACAAGGAGACACGTAGAGACACAAGGAGACACGTAGAGACATAAGGAGACACGTAGAGACACAAGGAGACACGTAGAGGCACGTGGGGAGCTCACGAGATGCGGGAAGACACAGGGAGGCCAGGGACACAGGGAGACCAAACGTGGACATCCAACATTTTGCCAGTCAGAGTTACCTCTTCCCCTGCAAGTTATTTTGAACGTGCATGGTTGACGTGGCGTTGTTGTTGTCGTTGTTGCTCCTAACGGTGGCGTTGTTGTTGTTGTCGTTTGTCCGCCTGTCCGCCTGTCTCCCCGCATGCCCTTTCGATTAACCGCCTGCCGCTTACGATTGATTGATTCTCGAATAATCGCGCACACTCACACCACCACTCCTGGTGTCACCGCTGGGATTGGCTGTCACCAATCGATGGGGCACGGCCGAGTCTCCTGCTGCCGATTTCTCTGCTAATTATCACGACGGAATTGCGGAATTGTTGCTGGGGAATCTGCACCGTTCCTCTTCCGACGATCGCACGCGACGATGTGTACTCACTCTCGTCGATTCCCACCATGACCTGTTACCGACACCACCGGTACCAACACCACCACCAACACTAACACGGCTATCATCACCGCTGCCACCACCATCACGGCCACCACCATTATCATCAACACCAACACCACTACCATCACCACCACCACGTACGCCACCTCTACCATTGCCTCCACTGTCGCCACCACCACCACAACTATCCTCGCCATTGCCACCACCTCCAACACCACCTCCAACACCACCACCACCACCACCACCACCTCCAACACAACTTACACCTCCAACACGACCTCCACCTCCAACACGACCTCCACCACCAACACGACCTCCACCACCAACACGACCTCCACCACCAACACGACCGCTTCCAATCAACCGACGGATCAATCAAACCAATGAACCTCGTCCCACGGTCCCCGGCCAATCGTAACGCGGGCGACCCCCGATTGGATCCCGTCGCTGATCCCCCCCGGCTGGCCGCCGCCGCCCCCCCGTTGGGCGCTGCAGGGCAACGCGCCCCAAGGAGCCCGGCAGCTTCTACCGCGCCGTCACCACCGTTAGGAAGCAGAACCACGTGGTGGGGGTCATGGGGGGCGCGGGGGGTGGGGGCGAGGGGGGGTCCTCCCACGCCGCCCTCTCCTGCCCCAACACCCCCTCCCTGTGCACGGCCCCCAGCACGCCGCCAGTGGTGGTGGATAAGAGGTGAGGGTGGGCACGCACACGCGTGTGTGTGTACATGTGTGTACGTACGTGTGTGTGTGTGTGTACGTGTGTGTGTGTACGTGTGTGTGCGTACGTGTGTGTGTGCGTACGTGTGTGTGTGTGTACGTGTGCGTGTGTGTACGTACGTGTGTGTGTGTACGCATGTGTGTGTACGTGTGTGCGTGTACGTGTGTGTGTGTGTGGGGAGCGGTAGTGTAGCAAGTTAGCGCTACGAACCCGGCGATCCGGGTTCCATTCCCATTCACAGCCAACACCGCCAGTGACGATTATCTGAACCGGTCCTGGGCCTCCCCTAGGTCGACTAAACCTCAAATGAGTACCTGCTGCGGTGTGTAGTAAACATCGCCACTGGGGAGACAAAGGCGGTCGGGGGGTGGTGCTGGCCACCCACCCCCTCGTGTGCCGTGCCGGCCTTCATAGGGGCTGCTCGCTAACAGCGCTTGCCCCGAGAGCTCGTGAAGGCTACACGGTGGATCTTTTGTCTTTCTGCGAGTGCGAATCCACGTATGTGCGCGTGTGCCCATGCGTGCGCGCGTGTGCGTACGCGCGCTTGTCTTTGTGCGGGTGTAGCCGTGCGGCAGTGTCGTGCTGCCGCACGCCGACCCCCCGCGTGCTTTAACCCGTGCGTCTCCCTGTGTCCCCCCGCGTGTCCGCCCCCGCGTGTCCGCCGTGTGTCTCCCCGTGTGTCCCCTGTCTCCCCGCGTGTCCCCTGTCTCCCCGCGTGTCCCCTGTCTCCGTGCGTGTCCCCTGTCTCCCCGCGTGTCCCCTGTCTCCCCGCGTGTCCCCTGTCTCCGTGCGTGTCCCCTGTCTCCCCGCGTGTCCCCTGTCTCCCCGCGTGTCCCCTGTCTCCCCGCGTGTCCCCTGTCTCCCTGCGTGTCCCCTGTCTCCCCGTGCTCAGCGCCCTCAAGCTGCCCCAGGTGTCACCGACGTTCGGCCGAAAGTCGGGGCAGGGCAGCGTGAACCCCCAACACAAAGGTGCGAGCGGCCTACAGGGACCACCGCGACCCCCGTGACCACCAAGAGCCGCTGAAATATTCAGAATCTTTATTTAGGCTGCGGGAGGAATCCGATGAGCTATGAAGCTCTTTTGCACAGATGTCCAGTAAGGGGCACGGGGTCAGAGTTACGACAGCAAACACAATGCAAAAACACGATAGGAGGGCAAGGCAAGCGAGTCACTCAATATAAATTAAGTATACACGTAGTACAAATTGGAAAAGTAGTCAATACTTGCCGATGAATTATTATATTACGAAATTACTAAAATAACTCACCTCTAGTCCGTTTAGAATAACGCCATGTTCATTAACACTGCTACCCATAGACTCAACACTATCCATAGACTCAACACTATCCATAGACTCAACACTGCCCATAGACTCAACACTGCCCATAGACTCAACACTGCCCATAGACTCAACACTGCCCATAGACTCAACACTGCACCATAGACTCAACACTGGCCCATAGACTAAACACTACCCATAGACTCAACACTGCCCCTAGACTCAGCACTGCCCCTAGACTCAGCACTACCCACAGACTCAACACAGCCCATAGACTCCACACTGCCCATAGACTCAACACTACCCGTAGACTCAACACTGCCAATAGACTCAACACAGCGCATGGACTCAACACTGCCTATAGACTCAACACTACCCATAGACTCAACACTGCCCATAGACTCAACACTGCACCATAGACTCAACACTGCCCATAGACTCAGCACTACCCACAGACTCAACACTGCCCATAGACTCAACACTGCCCATAGACTCAGCACTACCCACAGACTCAACACTGCCCACAGACTCAACACTGCCCATAGACTCAGCACTACCCACAGACTCAACACTGCCCACAGCTTGGCTGGTTCTTGAGTGGACACCACAGCCAGCGAAGCCGTAGGGATGAAACGATCGCCGCCGCCGTCCCAGACGGCGCTCACGGCCCCCGCTCAGCCCCCGTCGCGGTTTCACCACGGACTTGGACCGATCGGCGCCACCGCTGAGCCGCGCCGCCCTCCTCCGTCTCTTCCCCCGCAGCCAAGAAGCCGGCGCCGGCGCCGCCCAAGGCGGTGGCCAGCCTGGTGCAGGGCACGCAGGCTGGCCTCTCGGAGATGGGCTCGGCGCCGGGCGGCTCGGAGACGGGCGGCCCCGGCGCCGAAGACACGCCGCCCGGCACGCCGCCGCGCGCCGGCACGCACAGCCGCAGCGCCTCGCAGTCCTCCGTCCTCTCCTCCTCCTCCTCCCCCTCGCCCTCCGCCTCGCTGCGGAACGCCGCCGCCGCCGCGGCGCCCGCGGCTGACGCCGGAGGAGGAGGAGCGCCGCACGGCGCCGCCGCGGCGTCGGGGAAGCCGCCGGTGCCCAAGCCCCGCGCCAGGCCGGCGATGCCGCCGCCGCCGCAGCCGCCGTTGGGCGGCCTAGGGGGGCACGCCGGGGAGACGGCGCAGACCGACTCGTCGGACGATGGGCTCGAGGAGATGTCCACGGGTATGTACACGGGGGGGGGGGGGGGGGCGGGGGCTGCGTGATGAGAGACAATGGGCCGTGCAGGCCGGGCGGTCGCTGGTTTGGCTGCGGTGGACGTGGGAAGCGTGAGCGATGAGCGTGTAACGCTGCCGCCTGTATGTTTGTCGTGTGTGTGTCGTGTGTATTGTGTGTTGTTCGGGTACCTCGTGTGTGTCGTGTGTGTGTCGTGTGTATTGTGTGTTGTTCGGGTACCGCGTGTGTGTGTCGTGTGTATTGTGTGTTGTTCGGGTACCTCGTGTGTGTCCGAGTCGTGCGTACGTGCCCATTGCGTGTTCCACTCTAGATTTGTGCACTTCGTCGATGGCGTTGTGCACGTGCTGTGTGTGCTCTGCGCTTTGTGAGCTGTCTGTGCATCGCACAGCGAGATGTCACTGCTTGTTTGCGTTGTCTGTCGTGCGTTGTGCTGCTGCTGGTGGTTGATGATGGTGGCTGATGGCTGATGGTGGCTGACGGTGGGTGGAGGTGTTTGATGGTGGTGGCTGCCACCTCACGCCGCTCTCGACGTAAAGATGCCTTCCTCCTCCTCCTGTCTCGTCTCCCGCCTCCTCCTCCTCCTCTGTCCCTGTCTGTCCCTGTCTCTGTCCGTCTGTCCCCAGTGCTGTCTCTCTGATGGCTTGCGTTGTGGCCTGCCCGCTTTCGCTCGAGGTACAGTGACACACGGGCACGCGCCGGCCCCTCACCTTTGACCCCGCCGCCCCCCGAGAGGCCGCACCCCCCAGGGGTGGGGGGGCGACGGGATCACGTGACGCTGCTTTCCCATGATGCACTGATGCCTGGTTCGTGGTTTTCACGCCGGGCTCCGTGTGAGAACCGGAGCCTGGTTATTTTTCCTTTTAAACGGAGCGGTTGGCCGCCCCCTGTGCGTTGGCCCAGAGGATCATGGGAAAAGTATCGCCTCCTCGGCTTAATCATTTGCCTAGTGGTGCGATTGACCTTTGACCCCATCCAGGCATCTCCATTCAGCAGCACAGACGCTCTGGCAAGAGACTCTGCTGCTGAAACACCATCACCACCACCACCACTGCTGTCACCACAATCATCACCATCATCACTACCACCACCATCACAAACATCACGACCATCACCGCCACCACTACCACATCTGCTGTGACCGCAATCACCACCATCGCTGTTGTCATCACAATCACTAACCCATCAGCACCGTCGCCACCGCCACAGCCAAGATTACCCATCACCGCTGTCACTGCCCATCGCAATCTCATCACGGTCATCATCACCGTCGCTAACGGTCACTGCCATCGCTGTCACCGCCATGGCTAGCCATGGGCGACCGTCGCCACCACCTAGGGAGGAGGCCCAGGGTCTGCTCAGATAATTATCTAATTATTACGATTATAATCGTCACCGGTGTTGGTGGTCGTGAGCGAGAGTCAATCTGGGGTCACCGGGTCCCGTAGAGCAGTGCGGCGCGCTGAACCGCTGCGCCACTGCTCCCCGCATGCGCCTTCAGCCGCCGCAGCCATCGCCACGCGTGGCCATCGCTACGTGTGCCATCGCTACGTGTGCCATCGCCACGCAGTGCGCCATCGCTACGTGCGCCATCGCCACGCGTGGCCATCGCCACGTGTGCTCCATCGCCACGCGGTGCTCCATCGCCACGCGTGGCCATCGCCACGCAGTGCTCCATAGCCACGCAGTGCTCCATAGCCACGCAGTGCTCCATCGCCACGCAGTGCGCCATCGCCACACGTGGCTATCGCTACGTGTGCCATCGCCACGCGGTGCTCCATCGCCACGCGGTGCTCCATCGCCACGTGTTTGCTGTCACCACGCGGTGCAATCACCGCCGCCGCTTCCACCCGTTGACACAGAGCCCATCAGACCAAGGCTGCTCGGCTCTCATTCGTCGGCTGTCCGAGCGCCGCGGTGTTCAGCCAAGCGGCGCGTGCCGTGGCCCGGTCTGTGAGCGAGACGCCGTCGTTGACATCACATTGGTCTCCATCCGGCAGTGGATGATAGCAGCATGCAGTAGAGATGGAGACACGTGTGTGTGCACGTTGAACTTCTTTCGCACCGTACCTGGCTAATCGTAGCCCCATGGCTGTCGAGAGCGGTGAGCCCCGGGGGGCTTGGGCTGGGCGCGTAGCCACGGTGTGAAGCGACGACGGTGGCCAGAGGTCGAGAGATGAAATGCACGGAGCGGTCAGCCAAGGGCTTTCTGCTGCTGCTGTCCAAGCTCTGTGGTCCTCTACATGGACTCCTCGACTTACGAACTAGTAAAGTTCCAGAGGCCTGTTCGTAAGTCCAACTTTACTGCTGTCGATTCCAAACGTGTTGTACGGCGTGTACGCTAAACACGGGGAATGGCTTTAAAAGTTGTATAATCTCCTGTAGATGTAGATGCCACTACATCTTCACGTTCTGCAGATGTAGATGCCACTGGTTCTTCACGTTCTATAGATGCCACTGGCTCTTCACGTTCTGTAGATGTAGATGCCGCTGGTTCTTCACGTTCTGTAGATGTAGATGCCACTGGTTCTTCACGTTCTGCAGATGTAGATGCCACCACCGCCATCTATTGTGCCGGCGGTTGAACTTACGACTCTCGATCCGAACACTCTCGATCCGAACAGGCGACAGCGGTTAGCGCACTGCGCTGCAAAACCCGCCAACCCCCCACTTGGTTCCCGGCCAGCGTTGGTGACGATTATCCGAACCAGTCCCGAGCCTCGTCTAGGTTGGCTCGACCTTAAATGAGTACCTTGTGTGGTTTGTAAACACCAGCACTGGGGGGAGACAAAGGCGGCCAGCCAATCACTCCATCGTAGGTGGGCGAGTATGATGTGGTCTGGTGAGTTTGTGGGTGAGCAGAAAGGCACCACTGCTGCCCACGCGCCCAGTGTGCATGTCATGTGACCAACGCATTGCATGTTGGACACCGTCGGCACGCAAAGCATGATGGGAGTCGTGCCTTCCTGCTGGCTGTGGGCAGACGCGCACAACCCTCCGCACTGTGACCCTCGACCTTGCCTGGAACTCCTCGCACTGATGGTCCCCGTCTGGTCTGTGCCTCAGCTGCGTCTGCTGTGTGTCTCTGATCCGTCTCAGCCGTGTCTGCTCTGTGTCTCTGATCCGTCTCAGCCGTGTCTGGTCGATGTCTCAGCCGTGTCTGCCCCGAGCACCTGATCTGATTGGACAACTTCTTGTAACTCTCCCCCCCCCCCCCCTCCGCTCTCTCGTCCTCCTCCCCGTGCTCACGTTGTGGTGTGTGCGGTGTGGCGTGTGCGGTGCAGCGGTGTAGGGTTCGCTCGGAGCCGCAGTCCGGACGGTAAGACACCGCCGCCCCCCTCCCCCCCCCATCGCGACCCCCACTAACTGCTGCCCCCCCCCTGAGATCATTGATGTTGCGTCTGTCACTAAACTACCGCCCCCCCCCCCGACCCCGCACCTTGGTGCACCCGACTTAACAGCCTGCGCTTCCCATCGTGGCGTGTCATGTGTGTGTGTGTCGTGCGAGTGTGCATAAAGTGTGCATGTGGGGGTGTGTGGGTAGTGTGACCTGTGCGTGTTTATCATGCGCGTGTGTGGTGTGGTGTGCGTGTAGTGCATGCGTGCGTAGTTCAAGCGGGGACCATTGCCCGTCAGTGCCGTCAGCGCGGTGGTGGGCATGTACTAACCCCCCCTCCCCCGCTGCCTTGACCCCCCCCCTAACTCCAGCCCCTGTAGATTCACCAGCAGGTCAGCACGAAGGCCCCCCCCCCCCCCGCCATGTCCATCGCCTCTGCTGATAACCGCTCTGCTGATAACCGCTCTGCTGATAACCGCTCCGCTTGTCTCTACTGCGGGGCTCCCTCCACCGCACGACAGAGCCTCTCAAACTCCACAAATTTAAAACCGACAACAACAAACTTGGCATCGATATCGCGCCCAAAAAATGTCTCGAAGCCCGCGAGAAATACATTTACATTTCTTTTTGGGACCCTAGGGGGACCCTTCCCATGGCGACACAAGTTGTACACAGCACACCGGTCCGCCCTGCAAGCAGGCGTCGGTCTGCCCCCCGGTAGGGTTGTAATCCCACAGAGACGGAGGGAGTTCTCGTTTACGGGGGCGTATTTTTCCCGGTTACTCCGCGCCCCGCGGCGTTGACCTGGGCGGCCCGCTGGGTCGAATCGCGAATCCACGCAACTAGGCCGTCAGACGATGGCGGGGGGTGCGGGGGTGGCACTGATGACGGAGTGGCAGAGATTTGGATTTTGAGAGATTTGAATTTTGAGAGATTTGGATTTTGAGAGATTTGGATTTTGAGAGATTTGGATTTTGAGAGATTTGGAGTTGAGAGATTTGGAGTTGAGAGATTTGGAGTTGAGAGATTTGGAGTTGAGAGATTTGGAGTTGAGAGATTTGGAGTTGAGAGATTTGGAGTTGAGAGATTTGGAGTTGAGAGATTTGGAGTTGAGAGATTTGGAGTTGAGAGAGAGCTGCGGGTGCCTCGGCAGCAATCGCCTGGAGGCACCGGCAGAGGCCGCTGCCGCGCGGGGCCTTGCGCCGACGCGTACTTTACTAAACCCTCTCCCGTTCCGAGATGTCTTGCGAGTTGCAGGGTGGTGGGGGGGCGCGGCAATATCAGCAGCGCCGCCGTTTTTAAAGACGTCGTTACTCACCGTGGAGAGCCGAGCGCCGCCACTCTACCACGGCTGGCACCAACACCGTGCCACGCGCCCTCCCCCGTGGCCTTTTACTCCCGAATGGGAATGGGGTTAGAGGTCACGGTGGCTGGTTTTGACCGTGCATGCGTGCCATCTGCCGGCGCGTTCTCCGCCCGTACGTTGCTGTGCGTGCGCGCTGACGACGTCTGCGTGCTGCGTCCGTCCATGTCCCTGCACGTGTCCGTGCGTGCGTGCGTGCGAGTGTCCACCTGGGTGCCTGTACGTCTCTGTGTACGCTGTCTGTGCGTGTCCAGGCCCTGCGAGCGCGACGGAGCCGCCTCCGCTCCCGACGAGCGACCCTCCGGCGGAGGAGGACGAGAGCACCGCCCTGTAGCGCTCTCCGCCCGCTCTCTCCGACCCCACGACCTTCAGCAGCACCGCCCGCTCCCCTCGACCCCCACGACCCCGGCAAAGCCCGCAACGGGCCCACCTCGCCCGGTGACCCTGGCCGCGTGCGGGCGACCTCCCCCCCCCCCTCCATCGTCGTCCTGTGGCGGCCATGACAGCAGCAGCAGCATTAACTCTTGTTTACACTCACCCCACCTGCGTGCAAGGCTCTCCGCGCGTCGTTGCGAGTGTTGTAAGTTGTTGTGGCCGAGCGCCATTCAAAGCAATTAATCGTCCGGTTGGAGAGGGGGGGGGGGGTGTGACTAATTAATGGTAAGGTGGCAAAGGCAAGAGGGGGAGCCAGGGGGTCGGGGCGGCTCTAACGATCGTTTAAAACAAGACCAGATGAGGGCACTAACCAGCCACACAAAGCCAACAATGTATGCGGCTCGGTGATTCTTAAAGCTGATTTGGTCATTTTCTTGCTCTCCGCTGTTTCCCCACCGTGTGATCTTCACACGCTCACGGTTGTATTTTTATTTTCCTCTTCCCCTCCCCTTCCAATTGCCGCAAAAAAAAAACTTGATTTAAAAAGATGATCATCATTATTATTCGTCAGTACGGGATGAGGCGCGTATCCGTGCGAGTGACCGGTGGTGTGGGTGTTGTTCCTTATTGGTGCGTTGCTGTACACGTGTAGTGCAGGTGTACTGTGGGGGCGCCGCGGTGGCGAGATGTTAACTACCTCGCCTGGTATACAGGAGGTCGTGGGTTCGATCCCGACCCCTTGACGCCTGCTGTATATTTGGAGTTTTGCATGTTCTCCCCGTGGTCACGTGGATTTTTCTCCGGGTCCCCCCCACCCACATTTAGAATTTATTTGTCGCGCGTTTCAGGTATCTGGCTGCTTGTAAATTTCCGCGTGACGACGACGAGTCAACTTTCGTTGAGCTGCCGTCATTCGTGACGGCCAGGTCGCTTCTGAAAGAGAGCCACGTGGCTCAGTGGGCGGGTGGCCTTACCCCGGTAAGATAAACAAAAACAATAGTTTTAGTCTCGTACGTTTTTACAGGTAGCTGGTACAGCTGCGCGGCCGTGCAGGGTGTGTAATCGCGGTACGAGCGCGTGGCGCGGATGATTTGTGTAGGTGCACGGTGATTGTCCTCCCCCCCCCCTCCTTTCATTTGTGATGGAGAAGCGGCGTCGGAAGTTGTCCCACACTGGACGTTGTAACGGCGTAAAGAGAATGTAACCGGGCGTGTCGTTACCGCTCATCGCCACCGCATCACCGTCATTGCACCACCAACACGACTACTGCACCGCAACCATCGCTCAATCCGAATAAATAAAACCACCATCTGCATTACGGCCATCACAAGGCTCGTAACACGCCGCCATTGCATCTCCGTGGCAACCACCGCCACTGTAACTCGCAACACTCATCCCACGCTTGCGCTGCACGATCCTAATCAACACAACCACCACCAGCTGACATTGCATGACACCCAGCGACGCAATATCTCCATCGCAACCACCACCAGCTGACATTGCACGACCCCAATTAATGCTACCACCACCACCACAACCATCACCAACACTCATCCAAGCTTAATCAACACAACCACTGTCCTCTCAGTGTAGCTGCCTTCAGTGTAGAGGCCACGCATCATCACCCACTGCCTTTTAATTTTTGTTTTTATATAGAATTTTACATTTTTATTGAGGATGTTTTAAGTTTTTATAACAAGAGTTCATAATGATCACAGATGGCAATGTACTGACACTCCTCTCACACCCCCCCCCCAACTCCTGGAGCCAGTAGATGGCCTGTACCACCACAGCCCCCCGGCAAAGGGGGCTGTGGTGTTCCCACCCCTGAGGCGGGCGGGGTGCATGCGGGTTTATGATTGTGGCTTCTCCCCCAATCCTCCCCCACCCCCCTTGTGATGTTGAATGGAACAGTCCATGGCTCAAGCTTGAGTGCAGGATGCCTAGGGTGGTGGGGGGGGGTAAACTGTAAATAGAGAATCTATTGAATATCTCCCTTCCCAGAGAGCACCCTCCCCCCCCTCTCCTCTGCGCGTGTACAGATGGTACGGTCCACTCCACCCCCCCCTCGCCCACCTCTGGCACCCCGAGGTTGGGAGGGCTGGGGGGAGGGCTGCATGACGTGAGGACGGGCGACCTGTCAAAATAAAAGTCCCATGCGATTGGAGGAAACCGGCGGGTTGCTTGGCCACGCCTCTGTATGTGTGTGTGGGCTGCTTCGTGTCGTCAGGGCCTTACCTGGGGGCCTCTCCGCCTTGAGCCTTTTAACCGCGCAGGTGCGCGCTAGGAACGCGGCCACCCGAGTTCGATTCCCGCTCACGGCCAACCTCCCACGGGGGTGGTCACCACCGCGTTGCGATTTTCCCCATCACCGCGGCGAAACCGGTTCCTCTCCCCCAATGGAGACCGTCGCCACGCCAACGGCGTCCTTCCCCACGGAGACCGTCCACTCTTCTCCGACGCTGTCCGTCACCATGGCGACGCACTCCTCGCCAACGTCGGCCCTCTCCGTCGTCGCCACGGAGATGACCGGCTGCTTGGCAACGCCGACCGTCTCCTCGATGGTGCGGTCGGTTACCGCGTCGACTTGCTCCAGTCCCGTGGCGTCCACCATCACGGTAACGTCCTCCTGCTCCTCCGCGCCCGCCTCGTTCCGCACGGTCACCAAGATGATGGTGCCACCGCCGTCGCCGGACACCGCCGGTGCCGTCCCTGCGCCGTCCCTCGCCATGGCAACCTCCTGGGCAGGGGGGAGGGAGGGACGCGCACAGCCTGGATCAGCGCGTGCGCGTATATACACGGGAAGCGGCGACGCAGCGGTTAGTGCGCTGTGCTCCCAACCCGGAAGCCAGAGTTTGATTCCTGCTCACGGCCAACACCGGTGACGATTATCCAAATCGGTCCTGGGCCTCCTGTAGGTCAACTCAACCTCAAATGAGTACCTGGTGTGGTTTGTAAACACCCACCCCCTTATGTTATCGTGCCGGCCTTCATAGGTGCTCGCCAACAGCACTTGCCCCAGCAGTCTGCTGAAGGCTACATGGGGGATCTTTGTCTATACACGGGGTTAGCGAGCCGCGCGCCGAACCCGGCGGGCCGAGTTTGATTCCCGCTCGCGGCCACCGGTGACGATTAATCGGTCCCGGTGCCTCCCACGTAGGTCGACTCGGCCTCAAAACGAGCACATGGTGCGGTGCGCGTCGTAAACGTCGCAGCTGGGGAGACAAAGGCGGCCGGGCGTGGTGCTGCCAGGCCACCCACAGCCCGGGGGGGGGGGGGGGGGCATCTTTGGCGTGCAGGTACCGTGCTGTCGGAGTCGTCGCTGGGTGCCGGGCCGTGTGGGGGCGGGGGGGGCCCCGGCTCCCCCACCGCTTCTGCCGCCTCGCCCACCCCAACGTTGTGCAGGATGAAGCGGTGGTGCCCGCTGCCCCGGCTCTCCCTCACTATGTGCTGCACCATCTGCACCAGCTCAGCTGGCACCTCCTGGGGGGGCGAGAGGGGGGGGTGGTGAGCAGGGGGTGGTGACCGGGGGGTGGTGGGGCCAGCGTGGCGAGGAGTGGTGGTGGTGAGGCTGTGGTGGTGGTGAGCCTTGGTGGTGGTGGTGAGCCTGTGGTGGTGGTGGTGAGCCTGTGGTGGTGGTGGTGAGCCTGTGGTGGTGGTGGTGAGCCTGTGGTGGTGGTGGTGAGCCTGTGGTGGTGGTGGTGAGCCTGTGGTGAGCCTGTGGTGGTGGTGGTGAGCCTGTGGTGGTGGAGATGGTGAGCCTGTGGTGGTGGTGAGCCTGTGGTGGTGGAGATGGTGAGCCTGTGGTGGTGGTGAGCCTGTGGTGGTGGAGATGGTGAGCCTGTGGTGGTGGTGGTGAGGCTGGGAAAGCGTCTCTCACCATCCTCTGCATGAAGCTGGGGCTGTCCTCCCTCTCCTCCGCCTGCCCTGCCTGCGTGACAGCACGGGGTCATGTCAGGGTCGGGGTCAGGTCGGGGTCATGTCGGGGTCGGGGTTAGGCACGCACGCGTGCACGTACAGTATTCGTACAGTACATTAGTACGCGTGGTGCAGTGGTCACTGCGCTACGAACCCGGCGACCCGAGTTCAATTCTCGCTCACAAACAATAACAGCGGCAAACATCTGAACTGGTCCCAGGCCTCCCCTCGGTGGACGCCTGGTGCGTTATGTAAACGTCAACACTGGGGAGACAAAGGCGGCCGGGCGCGGTGCTGGCTAGTGTGTATGTGACGCACGTGTATGATGTACTGCGCGTGTGTGACGCACGTGTATGATGTACTCCGCGTATGTGTGACGCATGTGTGTGTGTCGCACGTGTATAATGTACTCCGCGTATGTGTGACGCACGTGTGTGTGTGACACTCGTGTGTGTGTGTGTGACACTCGTGTGTGACGCACGTGTATGATATACTCCTGCGTGTGTGACGCATGTGTGTGTGACGCACGTGTATGATGTACTCCGTGTGTGTGTGTGACACTCGTGTGTGTGTGTGACGCACGTGTATGATGTACTCCTGCGTGTGTGTGTGATGCATGTGTGTCGCACGTGTATGATGTACTCTGCGTATGTGTGACGTGTGTGTGTGTGACGCACGTATATGATGTACTCCGCGTATGTGTGACGCACGTGTGTGTGTGTGAGACGCACGTTTGTGTGTGACGCACGTGTGTGATGTACTCCGCGAATGTGTGACGCACGTATGTGTGACGCACGTATGTGTGACGCACGTGTGTGTGTGACGCACGTGTGTGTGTGTGACGCACGTGTGTGTGTGACGCACGTGTATGATGTACTCCTGCGTGTGTGTGTGATGCATGTGTGTGTCGCACGTGTATGATGTACTCCGCGTATGTGTGACGCACGTGTGTGTGTGTGTGTGACGCACGTTTGTGTGTGACGCACGTGTGTGATGTACTCCGCGTATGTGTGACGCACGTATGTGTGACGCACGTGTGTGTGTGACGCACGTGTGTGTGTGACGCACGTGTATGATGTACTCCTGCGTGTCGGCCACCACGGAGGAGAACTCCACCAGCACGGCCGTGGGGTCCTCGCCCAGCAGGGGGTCGTCCGCGGCGTTCCCCGCGTGCCCGCTCCCCTGGGCGCCCTCCTTCACCTCCGTGGGGGGGCCCAGCGGGAGGGGGGGGGCCCTGGAGGGGGCGCCCTGGGGAGGGGCACTGGGGCCAAAAGAGCAACCGCCTAGGGGAGAGGGGCAATCACAGCTGGGTTCAACACCATCATCGTTGTCGTCATAACCATCGTCATAACCATTGTCATCATAACCATTGTCGTCATCAACATCCTAGTAATCGTCATCATCATCACCACCGTCATCATCATCCTCTTAGTCATCATCACCAGCATCCCTCATCATGATCAAAATCATCAACACCGTCATCATCAGTAGTGGGTCGGTGCGTGAGTGGGTGGGTGGTTGAGTTGTGGGTGGGTGGTTGAGTTGTGGGTGTGTTGTGGGTGGATGGGTGAGTGGGTGGGTGGATGAGCCGTGAGTGAGCTAGTGGGTGGGTGGGTGAGCCATGAGTGAGCTTGTGGGTGGGTGAGTGAGCTTGTGGGTGGGTGAGCCGTGAGTGAGCTAGTGGGTGGGTGAGCCGTGAGTGAGCTAGTGGGTGGGTGAGTGAGCTAGTGGGTGGGTGAGCCGTGAGTGAGCCAGTGGGTGGGTGAGCCGTGAGTGAGCTAGTGGGTGGGTGAGCCGTAAGTGAGCCAGTGGGTGGGTGAGCTAGTGGGTGGGTGAGCCGTGAGTGAGCTAGTGGGTGGGTGAGTGAGCTAGTGGGTGGGTGAGCCGTGAGTGAGCTAGTGGGTGGGTGAGTGAGCTAGTGGGTGGGTGAGTGAGCTAGTGGGTGGGTGAGCCGTGAGTGAGCTAGTGGGTGGGTGAGTGAGCTAGTGGGTGGGTGAGCCGTGAGTGAGCTAGTGGGTGGGTGAGCCGTGAGTGAACTAGTGAGTGGGTGGATGAGCCGTGAGTGAGCTAGTGGGTGGGTGAGCCGTGAGTGAGCTAGTGGGTGTGTGAGTGAGCTAGTGGGTAGGTGAGCCGTGAGTGAGCTAGTGGGTGGGTGAGTGAGCTAGTGGGTGGGTGAGCCGTAAGTGAGCCAGTGGGTGGGTGAGCTAGTGGGTGGGTGAGCCGTGAGTGAGCCAGTGGGTGGGTGGGTGAGCCGTGAGTGAGCTAGTGGGTGGGTGAGTGAGCCGTGAGTGAGCTAGTGGGTGGGTGAGTGAGCTAGTGGGTGTGTGAGTGAGCTAGTGGGTGGGTGAGCCGTGAGTGAGCTAGTGGGTGGGTGAGTGAGCTAGTGGGTGGGTGAGTGAGCTAGTGTGTGGGTGGGTGAGCTGTGAGTGAGCTAGTGGGTGGGTGGGTGAGCTAGTGTGTGGGTGGGTGAGCTGTGAGTGAGCTAGTGGGTGGGTGAGCCGTGAGTGAGCTAGTGGGTGGGTGAGTGAGCTAGTGGGTGGGTGAGTGAGCTAGTGGGTGGGTGAGTGAGCTAGTGTGTGGGTGGGTGAGCTGTGAGTGAGCTAGTGGGTGGGTGGGTGAGCTAGTGTGTGGGTGGGTGAGCTGTGAGTGAGCTAGTGGGTGGGTGAGCCGTGAGCTAGTGGGTGGGTGAGTGAGCTAGTGTGTGGGTGGGTGAGCTGTGAGTGAGCTAGTGGGTGGGTGAGCCGTGAGTGAGCTAGTGGGTGGGTGAGTGAGCTAGTGTGTGGGTGGGTGAGCTGTGAGTGAGCTAGTGGGTGGGTGAGCTAGTGTGTGGGTGGGTGAGCTGTGAGTGAGCTAGTGGGTGGGTGAGCCGTGAGTGAGCTAGTGGGTGGGTGAGTGAGCTAGTGTGTGGGTGGGTGAGCCGTGAGTGAGCCAGTGGGTGTGTGGCTTCTGCTTTTGGCTGGCGCCGAGTTCTCCGGGTCCCCACCTTTGGCACGGAGGTGCCGGTTGAGGGTGCCGTGCTCGGCGAAGGAGCGCGAGCAGCGTGGGCACGGGAAGGGCCGCTCGCCCGTGTGCTGCCGCCGGTGGCGCACCAGCGACGCACGCTCACGGAAGCGCGCAGGGCAGTCGGGGCACGCGTGAGGCTTCACCTGGCCGTGCGTGCGCTCGTGCACCTGCAGCGCGTGCTGACGTACGCGCGAGGAGGGAGGGGAGAGGGGGAGTCACGCGGGGGGGCGTCGCACACGTGCGGGCGGTGGTCGAGGTGTTGCGTGGGGTCACGTGAGGTCGCGTGGGGTCGCGTGGGGTCACACGGGGGGGGGGGGGGCCCCATCGGACACAACGTCACATGGGGGGGGGGGCACGGGGTACGCAGCGCCGTCACCACGCACACACCATCACACACACACACCATCACACACACACACACCATCACACACACACACACCATCACACACACACACACCATCACACACACACACACCATCACACACACACACACCATCACACACACACACACCATCACACACACACACACCATCACACACACACACCATCACACACACACACCATCACACACACACACCATCACACACACACACACCATCACACACACACCATCACACACACACACCATCACACACACACACCATCACACACACACACCATCACACACACACACACCATCACACACACACACCATCACACACACACCATCACACACACACACGCCGACCACACCACAGCGCCACGGCGCCACCCACACAAGCACACCACCACACACAGGGCGTCATGCGGGGCGTCACCACTGCCACACCACCACCGAGGGTGTCCCACGTGGGTGCCACACCGCTGCACCATGCGCCGCACACGTCACCAGGGACTTCCCATGCCACCCGCGTCACCCCGCCCTCTTGCACCCTCCCCTCCATCCCGACGTCTCCCTCCCCTTGCCCCTCCCCTCCATTTCCATCTTCCCAAGTTTCCTGGACCTCGCTCTGACCTCGCTCTGACCTCGCTCTGACCTCGCTCTGACCTCGCTCTGACCTCGCTCTGACCTCGCTCTGACCTCGCTCTGACCTCGCTCTGACCTCGCTCTGACCTCCCTCTGACCTCCCTCTGACCTCCCTCTGACCTCCCTCTGACCTCCCTCTGACCTCCCTCTGACCTCCCTCTGACCTCCCTCTGACCTCCCTCTGACCTCCCTCTGACCTCCCTCTGACCTCCCTCTGACCTCACTCTGACCTCACTCTGACCTCACTCTGACCTCACTCTGACCTCACTCTGACCTCACTCTGACCTCGTTCCACTCCCCTCATTCCACCTCCCTGTACCTCCCTGCCTCCACTTCTCTCCCTGCCCTCCCTCGCTCCATCCCTCCCCCCAACTCCCTGCCCTCCCTCGCTCCATCTCCCCCCGCGCCCCTCCCCCCACCTTGGTCTTGAAGTTCTTGCCGCAGGCGGCGCAGGGGAACGGCCGCGACTCGGAGTGGGCGCGCATGTGGTCGCGCACGTGCGCCACGCACTTGTACAGCTTGCCGCACTCGCCGCAGCGGAAGCGCCGCTCCCCCCCGCCGCCGCCGCCGCCGCCGCCGCCGCCGTGGACCGCCAGGTGCTTGCGCAGCACGGACGCCGTCACGAACGACTTGCCGCACACGGTGCAGACGCTGGGGCCGCCCTCGGCGCGCTGGGCCGCTGGCGCACCGGCGGGGGAGGGGGCAGGGGGCGGGCGAGAAGGGGGCGAGCGCGAGTCGCCGATGCCTCTCTGCCCGCTGGCGCCGCCGTGCCGAGCCGGCCCCGAGCGGCCCGGCGGGAGCCGACGTCGGGTTTCCACTTGCGGCAGGCCCGCGCCGTGTGCCGTGCGGGACCTTTTGCAATTGAAGACCCATCCACCTTAGAAGGCAGGCGGCGGCGCACGAGGGGGTGGGTGGCCAGCACCACGCCCGGCCGCCTTTGTCTCTCATAGTGACAATCTTTGAACACCGCTCTGGGTACTCACGTGAGGCCGAGTCGACCTAGGGGAGGCCCAGGACCGATTCAGATAATAATTGCTGGTGTTGGTGGCCGTGAGCGGAAATAAAACTCGGGTTGCCGGGTTCGTTAACGCGGTGCGCTAACCACTGCACCACCGCTCCCCAAATACGCATACAACACGCACGTGTACAGGCGAACGCTCGCATTCACGCACGCACAAGCACGCACAAGCACGCACGCGTGTCCGCTTGTGTTTGTAGTGCAACAAACGGGCGAGCGTGAGTGCCGATACAGCAAGTCGGCAGTGGGGGGGGGGGGGGGGGGGGCGGTACAGCAGCTGGTGGTGCATCTGCCGGTCATCTAAGTCAGCCAACCCTTGGCACCTGCTAGGCCTGTCCCTTGACCTCCTGTCAGCGAGCCTTCGATACTCCACGTGGCCTCAAAGTGCCGTGGTGACGTCACCGTCACTTAGTAGGCGAATGGTGGGTATTGGTATTTGGGAGTGCATGTATGTTGTGTGTATGTCGTGTGTGTGTGTGTGTGGGGTGCGTGCGAGGCGTATGCGGGGTGCGAGTGTCGTGTGAGGCGCGTGTGCGTCGTTGTGCACAGTGTGGTGAGCATGTGTGTGTGTGGGGAGTGGTGGTGTAGCGGTAGTGGCCTCACGGTGCACATAGCCTGGCACAAGCGTCGTGGTGACGTCACCGCCACTTAGTGGGGAATGGCGGTTATTGTTGTTGTTGTTGGTGTAGCGGTTAGCGCGCTGCGCTACAAACGGGGGGATCTTTGTCTTTGTGCGCGTGTGTGTGCGCGTGGCGGGATGCACCTCTGTGTCCGTGGATGTGCATCTGGAGGTAGCGGTGCCCGCGGAAGCGCTTGTGGCAGTAGGGGCACGGCTCGGTGTGCCGGGACAGCCGCCCGGCACTGTCACCGCCCCCACCCTGCGCTCGGCACACGCATGCCACACGGAGGGGCGAGTGAGTGCACGCGCGTGTGAGTGTGCGAGTGGTAGGGTTTGTTAGTGGCATGGTGTGTGAGTGTGCGAGTGGTAGGGTTTGTTAGTGGCATGGTGTGTGAGTGGGTGGGTGACAGGGTGTGTTAGTGGTATGGTGTGTGAGTGTGCGAGTGGTAGGGTTTGTTAGTGGTATGGTGTGTGAGTGGGTGGGTGACAGGGTGTGTTTGTGGTATGGTGTGCGAGTGGGTGGGTGACAGAGTGTGTTAGTGGCAGGATGTGCGAGTGGGTGTGTGACAGGGCGTGTTTGTGGCATGGTGTGTGAGTGTGCGAGTGGTAGGGTTTGTTAGTGGTATGGTGTGGGAGTGGGTGTGTGACAGGGCGTGTTAGTGGTATGGTGTGTGAGTGGGTGGGTGACAGGGTGTGTTAGTGGTATGGTGTGTGAGTGGGTGTGTGACAGGGCGTGTTAGTGGTATGGTGTGTGAGTGGGTGGGTGACAGGGTGTGTTAGTGGTATGGTGTGTGAGTGGCTGGCAGGATGTGCGAGTGGGTGTGTGACAGGGCGTGTTTGTGGTATGGTGTGAGTGGGTGTGTGACAGGGCGTGTTTGTGGTATGGTGTGTGAGTGGGTGTGTGACAGGGTGTGTTTGTGGTATGGTGTGAGTGGGTGTGTGACAGGGCGTGTTTGTGGCAGGATGTGCGAGTGGGTGTGTGACAGGGCGTGTTTGTGGTATGGTGTGTGAGTGGGCGGTAAGGCGAGTGGCTGTGAGCAGCTGACCAGGTGCTTTGCACAACCGGTGGCGGCACTGCCGGACTACTTGCCGAGTTCAAATCGTCGCTCGCCTCTTCCCGTTGCCGCACCTCCTCCTCCGCGGACCCCACGACGTCGGCAGGCGTCTGCGTCTCCATTGGTCGAGCCTCCGGAGCGAGCTCCGCCCCTTCCTCTGGCTCCGCCCCCTCCCGAGGCCCCACCCCATCTCGAGGCCCCGCCCCCTCATTTCCAGCCAAATCTTCCGTTTCTATTGGCCGAGCAGAGTCCGGTAGACGGGGCGCCGTCCTCGCCTCCTGGATGCCAGAGTTCTTCATTGCTCGGCCAATCAGGTTGGGCTCCTCCGGACGATTCTGACCAATCGTGGCGTCTGCAGCGGCAGAGCCGCCCTGGCCAATGGAAGAGCTCCCTTCCTTGTCATCGCCACAGCCGCTGCCTCCCTACAGACGAGGCGATAGGCGGAGGGGACGTCTCTCATCATCGGGCTCATAATCACACACACACTGTGCCATCATACACACACATACTATAATTACACACACTACATCCACACTGTCAACATACGCACTACAACAACAGCCGCCATTCTCCACTTAGTGGTGGTGATGTCACCACGGCGCCAGTGCCAGGCGAGGTGCACTTTGAGGCCACGTGAAGTGGTCGAAGGCTCGCGGCTGGCAAAAGGTCACGGCACAGACACAGATGCCATGGGTTGATTGAGATGACAGATGTGCCCCCTACTGTGCCAACTTGCTGCATTTTAGCCGCCCGGCACGCCACTCATTGTTGTGAGCGTCGCTCCTCTGCCCTCCACTGTTGTTGGAGGGCGACTGCCCAGGAGCGTCCTACAAGAGCCTTCTTGACAGAGGCCGATCTTGACTCATCCTCCTTAACCTCATCAGTCCATCTGTTTTCTAGCCCCTGTCATGCCCATTTAGCCCCCTCTATCCGGCCAAACAGAAGCTGCTTGGGCATGCGGTGGCTGGCATGCAGGCTACATGGCCCAGCCAACGCGGCCTTGCCCGCCAGAGATCTTTCAGGGATTTGTGAGCTCCTCACACAATCCAGTCTGGTTAAATCCAGGATGGACTGTAGGCAGGCCAGCCTGAATGTTTCTAACTGGTGCAGGTGTTCCATTAGAGGGGTCCATGTTTCCTTATGACCAGCTCTGGTTTGACAGCAGAGGCCTCACTCCCGAATCAGTCAGGCGGCATTATCTTTCCATCGGCTGCGTAACGCTGTGTGGAAGCCACCTGTTCTGAAGCTTCGGCTGTTGTCGGCCACAGTCATGCCCTCCTTTCTCTATGCTTGTGAAACACAGTATATACACACTACACACACACAATACAGAGTCATCGTCACTATCATCAGTCACGACCATGCAGTGCATGATTATGACGACGATGAAGGGACACCTGCAGTATTAACCAGGGCGGGCCAACCGGACCACACGCGCCACGCCACTCGGATGGCGACCCCTCCCCCACCTTCTCGTCGTGCGTCACCGGGGTTATCAGCAAGACGAAGGTGTCGCCAGCGCTCGCCACGGCGCCATCGGTGCCAGTGGCGCCGGACTCGGGCATCTCCGCGGCTTTCTCGGCTGCCAGCGGGCAAACGGGAGACGGTGAGAAGGGTGGGTGAGCAGGGTGGGCGAGTGTATAGCAAGCGCACTTGAGTGGGTGGGCGAGTAGATGGGTGGGTTAGTGAGGGAGCGGGTGGGTGGGTAGGCGAGCGAGCGGGCGGGCGGGCGAGTGTTGAGGGAGCGGGCGAGGGTTGAGCGGATGAGTGGGTTAGCGAGTGGGTGAGCCAACGCGTGGGCGTCGAGCGAGCGAGCGAGCGGATGCGCGGGTGTACGCGCCTGCCTGCCCGCTTGCTCCTCCTCACCCTGGGCTACGGTGTGCGCAGGCCGACAGGCGGCCCTGGCCTGCGCCCCCGCGTACACGGCCCGGTCCGTGCACGGCGTGAGAGACTTGAGGTGGCGGCTGAGCGCGCCCGACTCCCGGAACCCCTGCCCGCACTCCTTGCACACGTACGGACGCTCGCCTGGCACGGCAAACGTGGAGACAAAGATCCCCCGTGTAGTCCCTCGTGGGGTGCTGGGGCAAGTGCTGTTATTAGAGAATATTGCGCATTTTGTTATTTATTTTTACCGGGTAAGGCCCACTGAGTAAAACAAATTTCAGAAGCGACCGAACCATCACAAATGACTGCTTAACGGAGTGGCTTATCACGTGGAACTGTATCGCCATTCCACACCAAGCGGCGGCGACATCACCACGGCACTTTGAGGCCACGTGAAGTGTCGAAGGCTCGCTGACAGGAGGTCACGGGACAGACCCAGCAGGTGCCATGGGTTAACAGATCGAGATGACTGGCAGATGCACTGTGCCCCCCTGCTGTGCCAACTTTCTGAGTTTTATCCACCCGGCACTCTGCTCGTTGTTGCGAGCGTCGCTCCTCCGCCCTCCGTTGTTGTTGGAGGGCGACCGCCTGCTAACTGCCCAGCAGCATCCTTCACGAGCCTCCTCAACAGAGGCCGATCTTGACACCGCTGGCACCGGTCATCGGCAAGTCCACTCAGCTACACATGCTCCCATACCGCATCAGCTCCATCTCTTCTCGATACCGTGCTGCTCGCGTTTAGCCCCCTCTATCCGGCCAAACAGAAGCTGCTTGGGCATGCGGTGGGCTGGGCATGCGGGCTACACGAGATGACAGCACCACCACCAAAACCACCACCGCTCCCCCACCCCACCGCTCCCCGGCACTGGCATACCGGTGTGGCGCCGCGCGTGCCGGACCAGCGAGCCCTTGGTGTGGAACTGCGTGGCGCAGACGGTGCAGCGGAACTGCTTGCTGGAGCTGTGAGTCACCATGTGGGCCTTCAGGATCACGGCCTGCGGGTGATAGCAGCAGTGTGTGCGTGCGTGCGTGCGGGTTGGTGAGTCTTATGGGGAGCGGTAGTGTAAGCGTCATGAGACCTCCTTTCCCATTATCATGACGGTAGTGCAAGCGGTTAGCGCGCTGTGCTACGAACCCGGCGATCCGAGTTAAGACTCCTGCTCGCCCGCCCGCCCGCTCGACCGCCCGACCAACCCCACGACTGCCCGCCTGCTCGCCTGCCCGCTTGCCCGACTGCCCACCCGCCCGCCTCTCACCGTCTTGAACTGCTTGGGGCACAGGCTGCACGCGAAGCGGGCGCCGTCGCGCGCGGCCAGCCTGGGCCTGGGGCTCGCCAGGGAGCCAGGCAGCGCCGGCCCCGGTGGGGGGGCGGCAGCCCCCGAGTCGGGTGGATGCCGGTCGCCGGGCGAGGAGGCGCGGGCCCTCCTGCGCGTCGCCCGCGGCACAACGTCTCCGTCTCCGTCTCCGTCTCCGGCGGCTCCGTCGACGGCGCCGCTCGCGGGCGGTGCGACGCTTCCTGGCGTGACGCACGCGGGACATTCACGCGCGCGCGGTTGAATATACGCAGACGCCCGTATACAGCAACAAAGACGAAGGTGAACAAAGATCCCCCGTGTAGCCTGTTGGGGCAATGCTGTTAGCGAGTAGCAGCACCTATGCAAGCCGGCACGGCACACGAGGGGGTGGGTGGCCAGCACCGCACCCGGCCGCCTTTGTCTCCCCAGTGGCGATGTTTACACATCGCACCAGGTACTCATTTGAGGCCGACTCAACCTAGGGGAGGCCCAGTACCGGTTCAGATAATCATCACTGGTCTTGGCCGTGAGCGGGAATCGATCTCGGGTCGCCGGGTTCGTAGTGCAGCGTGCTAACCACTACACTACCGCTATATGCAATCACACACAGACGTACAGATACACTTACACAGTCACGCACATAGATAAACGTACACACAGTCATAAAACAATAAACACACACACGTACAACTTCACACACGCAATCTTGCATGCCTAGGAACTGGAGAATATCCTTCTAAAGACTTCACCATTGTCCGATCATCAACATCACCCACATCACTAACATTTTCCTCTAAATTAGTCTCAGCACACATCATTACCACCTCCATCATTCTCATCACTCATTCATTTTATCACCCACAATCCCCATCACAAATATAACCATCATCACCATCCACATCATCACTCGCCTCCTATCACCCACACCATTATCACTCGCATAATTCTCATCCTCATAACCCACATCATCATCAGCCACCACCTCATCACCCACATTATCATCATCACCATCACCCACCTACTCATCACCCCAGACCATCACCCACAATCCACCTCCTGATCACCCACACCATCACCCACCTCCTAATTCCCCACACCATCACTTACATAACCACCATCACCATCACCCACCAACTCATCGCCAATATCATCACCCACACCATCCTCATCCCCTCCCCTCCCCCCCCCCCGGCGTCTCCCGCCCTGCTGCTTCCTCGCAGCACGGCCCGCCCACCTTCATTGGCAGAGGGCTGCGGTAGCGGAGCGCCGGCTGACGCCCGCGAGCACGCCTGCTGCAGCCGGTGCTGGATGAACGCCTCCAGGCTGTTGAACTCCTCCTGGCAGCGCCCGCACTTGTGCACATCATCGTCTGTTCACCCCCCCACCACCCACGCAGAGCCACGGGGCACGCACGGGTCACGGGGAGCAGGCCCGTGGGGAGAGGGGACAAAAGGGGGACAGGGAGAGTGGAAGGTGGGGAGAGGGGTGGGGAGAGGGGCTGGGTGGGGGAGTGTGGGGGAGAGGGTCCACTGAGCTGTGTAGCTCTCTTTCACACAAGCGACCTGGCCACAAACGACGGCTGATTTTAGTGGCTTCTCATCACGTGGGCATCAATAGCATCCAAATACTTTAAACGCAACGTTGTTTCAAAATGTGCAGGGAAAAACCGGAGACGGGGGCGGGGGGGGGCTGCTTCCCAGCTCCTCTCCAATTGGTTCCATAACGGGGGTGGGGGAGTGTCCGTCCCATCCCTCCGCTGATTGGACGGCCTTTGAACTTTGGCCCGTGGGCGTTTGACCAAAACTCCTCCACGTCACCGCGCTCCACCGCAGTGAGCGCCCGCGGGCAGGTGACCACGGTGGCCATGCGATGTTAACTACCTCGCCTGGTATGCAGGAGGTCGTGGGTTCGATCACGACCATGACGCCTGCTGTACATTTGGAGTTTGCGTGTAGAATCCAGCGGCCGCCGTGCTTATTTCTGCGGGTGGCATAACCATAATAATGATGGTAATAATAATAATGATACTGTTAGCTTTTTCGGCAAAGTGACGTTGAAGGGAAACAATAAAATAATAAAATATATATAAAACAATAAAAATTCTCACGACGTTTCGACCATAACACAAACGGTCGTCATCAGGTGTGTCGGTCCGCATTAATTTATTTATTTTCAAGCGGCGACTTTACTTATTTATTAAAAACCGTCAGCGCCACGCGCAGCGATTTGGCAGTTTGTTTAGAAGGACGAGTCCATCTATGTTCTGAAAAGAGGAGCGGGGAGACGAAAAATTAATGTATGCTGTCTGAAAGCCACTGTAAGCGTGAACAATCAATTAAGCCCTGAAATGGTTAATCAAATCTTTCCAATGATTGCTAAGCCAGAATCCATCTTCTCGGTTGAAATTGTCTCTGTGCTTGTATATGTGGATAGCCTCATGAACGAATCTCTCATGGTAGCCAGATGGCTTACAAAGAACCTCTGTCTCCTACAACATCAGAGTGCAGCGCCACATTAAATACGCACTACAATGACGATAGTTTAAAGCGATTTGAAGCATGTTTGATTTTTTGGGGGGGTGGGGCAGAGCTTTGTGACGTCATATTTGAGGGGAGGGGTCTGAAGTTTTGAGACGCCGTGACGAGGTGGGGGGGGGGGTCAAAAATCGCGTGACGTCATTTATGGACGGCCCCACACGTGGGTTAAACAAATCGACTTAACCTTTTGACCCTCGCTCTCAATGGCTGTGGGACCTCCGCTGCAAAACGCGCCGCACCACAGGCACACATTAGCCCGAGTTTAACACGGAGGGGTTCTTGTTACCTCGATGTCCACGTGCCCACCATCACATCATCATCAATCCTCACATTCCCACCTCGGAATCCAGTCACAAGTCAGCCGACTGTATGTCAGCAAGTGGCATGTTGTGTCGGTGAATTGCATTTTATGTCAGTGACATGGTGAGTCAGTGGCATACACGCGTGTCCCTGACGAGGTGAGTGACACATCAGTGATTGTGTCAGTGAGTGATATTGAGTGTGTGATTGTCTGCGAGTGGCTTAGTGTGTCAGTGAGTGACATTGAGTTTGTGATTGTGTCAGTGAGTCAGTGTCAGTGAGTGGCATGGTGTGTGTGATTGTCTGTGAGTGGCTTAGTGTGTCAGTGGCATGGTGTGTCAGTGGCATGGTGTGTCAGTGAGTGAAATGAAGTTTGTGATTGTGTCAGTGAGTGGGATGGTGTGTCAGTGAGTGACATTGAGTGTGTGATTGTGTCAGTGAGTGGGATGGTGTGACAGTGAGTGACATGGTGTATCAGTGAGTGACATTGAGTGTGTGATTGTGTCAGTGAGTGACATGGTGTGTCAGTGAGTGACATTGAGTGTGTGATTGTGTCAGTGAGTGGCATGGTGTGTCAGTGAGTAACATTGAGTGTGCGATTGTGTCAGTGAGTAACATTGAGTGTGTGATTGTGTCAGTGAGTGGGATGGTGTGTCAGTGAGTGGCATGGTGTGTCAGTGAGTAACATTGAGTGTGTGATTGTGTCAGTGAGTGGCATGGTGTCAGTGAGTAGCATGGTGTGTCAGTGAGTGACATTGAGTGTGTGATTGTGTCAGTGAGTGACATTGAGTGTGATTGTGTCAGTGAGTGGCATGGTGTCAGTGAGTGGGATGGTGTCAGTGAGTAGCATGGTGTGTCAGTGACATTGAGTGTGTGATTGTGTCAGTGAGTCACATTGCCAGCGAGTGGCATCGCGTGTCAGTGACTTTGCGTTCGTGGCATGGCGTGTCCGTGAATAACAACAGACACGAGCGAGTGACACGGCGTGCCAGCAATCGTGGGCGATGTTTCAGACGGCCGCGCCAAGAGACGCGAAATCACCCACCCAGTCTCAACCCTCGTAGACAGAATCTTTAGACTGCCGATGTCCAGTAGGGGCACGCGGGTGAGAACGTTGCACCAACAATGCATAAAGAAAACCACGGCTGGAGTGCAGAGTTGAGGAAAATGTTGAACACAGAATTAACTCCTCCACCCTCGCGGCGCCGGCGCTGCAGCCACCGCGAAGCCCGCGGGGCTGCCTAGGCGAGCCGAGGCCTGACGAGTCGCTCGCGAAAAACATCAAAAACCACCCCGCGTCTCCCCCGGATCCCCGCCTCCCACCACCACCACCACCACCGAGACACCGCGTCGCCTACCCTCCTCGTGGAGGGCTCCGCCTCCTCCGTCGAACGCCGCCGCGTCGCTCATCCCTGGGGCGGCCCGCGAAGGGGCCCTCCTGAGGCCTCCTGAGGCCTCCCGCCAGACGAAGCCTCGGCCTCCTCCTTGGTTACAACCGCTCAAGGCGCCCCCAACCCCACGGCCCCGTGATTGGCTCCCGTCGGCCGAGACCGCGCCCACCGGTGGCGAATCGGACCAATCGGCGCCTTTCCCGCGAAAACCACCCGCTCGCGCTGTGACAGGGATGAAACGAATCCGCGACAGAATGAATCATAGATTATGTTAATGTATAAGAAAACCAATCAGCTTCAAGGGGCGGGGCCTAACACGGGGGCTTTATCGATGCACAAATCGTCTCTTTAGATTCGGATTATCATGGCGCGGTTCATAAATCGTCTCTTTAGATCCAAATCATCATGGTGCGATCTATAAATCGTCTCTTTAGATCCAAATTATCATGGTGCGATCCACAAATCGTTTCATTAGATCCAAATCATCATGGTGCGATCCACAAATCGTCTCTTTAGATCCAGATCATCATGGTGCGATCCACAAATCGTCTCTTTAGATCCGGAGCATCGATCAATGCTACCATCACCACCTACCAACCAATGCCACCACCACCTCCCAATCAATGGCATCACCACTCACCAATCAATGGCATCACCACCCACCAATCAATTGCATCACCACCCACCAAACAATGCCATCACCACCAATCAATGCCACCACCACCCACCAATAAATGCCATCACCACCTAGCAATCAATGCCATCACCACCCACCAATCAATTTCATCACCACCAACCAATAAATGCCATCACCACCTCCAATCAATGCCATCAGCACCCACCAATCAATGCCATCACCACCCATCAATCAATGGCATCAGCACCAACCAATGACACCACCACCCACCAATGTTTCCACCCACCAATCAATGCCACCACCACCACTGACCAATAAATCCCATCACCACTCACCAATCAATTTCATATCCACCCACCAATCAATGTCACCACGACCCAACAATCAATGCCACCACCACCCACCAATCAATGCTACCACCACCCATCAATCAATGCCACCACCACCCACCAATCAATGCCACAACCACCCACCAATAAATGCCACCACGACCCACCAATAAATGCCACCACCACCCACCAATCAATGCCACCACGACCCACCAATCAATGCCACCACCACCCACCAATCAATGCCACACCACCCACCAATCAATGCCACACCACCTACCAATCAATGCCACACCACCCACCAATCAATGCCACCACCACCCACCAATCAATGCCACAACCACCTACCAATCAATGCCACCACCACCCACCAATCAATGCCACAACCACCCACCAATTAATGCCACCACCACCCACCAATCAATGCCACCACCAACCACCAATCAATGCCACCACCATCCACCAATCAATGCCATACCACCACCCACCAATCAATGCCACCACCACCCACCAATCAATGCCACCACGACCCACTAATCAATGCCACACCACCACCCACCAATCAATGCCACAACCACCCACCAATCAATGCCACACCACCACCCACCAATCAATGCCACAACCACCCACCAATCAATGCCACACCACCACCCACCAATCAATGCCACACCATCACCCATCAATCAATGCCACCACGACCCACTAATCAATGCCACACCACCACCCACCAATCAATGCCACAACCACCCACCAATCAATTCCACACCACCACCCACCAATCAATGCCACAACCACCCACCAATCAATGCCACACCACCACCCACCAATCAATGCCACAACCACCCACCAATCAATGCCACACCACCACCAATCAATTTCATATCCACCCACCAATCAATGTCACCACGACCCAACAATCAATGCCTCCACCACCCACCAATCAATGCTACCACCACCCATCAATCAATGCCACCCACCAATCAATGCCACCACCACCCACCAATAAATGCCACCACGACCCACCAATCAATGCCACCACCACCGACCAATCAATGCCACCACGACCCACCAATCAATGCCACCACCACCCACCAATCAATGCCACACCACCCACCAATCAATGCCACACCACCTACCAATCAATGCCACACCACCCACCAATCAATGCCACCACCACCCACCAATCAATGCCACAACCACCCACCAATCAATGCCACCACCACCCACCAATCAATGCCACAACCACCCACCAATTAATGCCACCACCAACCACCAATCAATGCCACCACCAACCACCAATCAATGCCACCACCACCCACCAATCAATGCCACCCACCAATCAATGCCACCACCACCCACCAATCAATGCCACCACGACCCACTAATCAATGCCACACCACCACCCACCAATCAATGCCACAACCACCCACCAATCAATGCCACACCACCACCCACCAATCAATGCCACAACCACCCACCAATCAATGCCCCACCACCACCCACCAATCAATGCCACACCACCACCCACCAATCAATGCCACCACGACCCACTAATCAATGCCACACCACCACCCACCAATCAATGCCACAACCACCCACCAATCAATTCCACACCACCACCCACCAATCAATGCCACAACCACCCACCAATCAATGCCACACCACCACCCACCAATCAATGCCACAACCACCCACCAATCAATGCCACACCACCACCCACCAATCAATGCCACACCACCACCCACCAATCAATGCCACCACGACCCACCAATCAATGCCACACCACCCACCAATCAATGCCACAACCACCCACCAATCAATGCCACACCACCACCCACCAATCAATGCCACACCACCACCCATCAATAAATGCCACACCACCACCCACCAATCAATGCCACACCACCACGCACCAATCAATGCCATCACGACCCACCAATCAATGCCACCACCCACCAATCAATGCCACACCACCCACCAATCAATGCCACACCACCTACCAATCAATGCCACACCACCCACCAATCAATGCCACCACCACCCACCAATCAATGCCACAACCACCCACCAATCAATGCCACCACCACCCACCAATCAATGCCACAACCACCCACCAATTAATGCCACCACCACCCACCAATCAATGCCACCACCAACCACCAATCAATGCCACCACCACCCACCAATCAATGCCACACCACCACCCACCAATCAATGCCACCACCACCCACCAATCAATTCCACCACGACCCACTAATCAACTGCCACACCACCACACCACCAATCAATGCCACCACCACCCACCGAATCAATGCCACACCACCACCCACCAATCAATGCCACAACCACCCACCAATCAATTGCCCCACCACCACCCACCAATCAATGCCATCACCACACCCACCAATCAATGCCACACCACCGACCCACCAATTCAATGCCACCACCACCAACCACCAATCAATGCCACAACCACCACCAATCAATGCACAGCACCCACCACCAATCAATGCACAGCACCCACCACCACCAATCAATGCAAGCACCCACCACCACCAATCAATGCACAACACCCACCCGCACCAATCAATGCACAGCACCCACCACCACCAATCAATGCACAGCACCAACCACCAATCAATGCCACCACGACCCACCACAATGCCACACCCAGCCCACCAATCAAGCCAAAACCACCCACTAATCAATGCCACACTACCACCCACCAATCAATGCCACAACCACCCACCAATCAATGCCACACCACCACCCACCAATCAATGCCACACCACCACCCACAATCAATGCCACCACGACCCACCAATCAATGCCACACCACCCACCAATCAATGCCACACCACCCACCAATCAATTCCACACCACCTACCAATCAATGCCACACCACCCACCAATCAATGCCACCACCACCCACCAATCAATGCCACAACCACCCACCAATCAATGCCACACCACCACCCACCAATCAATGCCACAACCACCCACCAATTAATGCCACCACCACCCACCAATCAATGTCACCACCAACCACCAATCAATGCCACCACCACCCACCAATCAATGCCACACAACCACCCACCAATCAATGCCACCACCACCCACCAATCAATGACACCACGACCCACTAATCAATGCCACACCACCACCCACCAATCAATGCCACAACCACCCACCAATCAATGCACACCAACCACCCACCAATCAATGCCACAACCACCACCAATCAAGCCACACCACCACCACCAATCAATGCCACACCACCACCCACCAATCAATGCACCACGACCCACTAATCAATGCCACACCACACACCCACTAATCAATGCCACAACCACCCACCAATCAATGCCACACCACCACCCACCAATCAATGCCACAACACCACACCAATCAATGCCACCCACCACCCACCAATCAATGCCACAACCACCCCACCAATCAATGCCACACCACCACCCACAATCAATGCCCCACGACCACCAATCAATGCCACACCACCACCCACCAATCAATGCCACAACACCCACAATCAATTGCCACACCACCACCCACCAATCAATGCCACACCACCACCCACCAATAAATGCCACACACCACCCACCAATCAATGCCACACCACCACCCACCAATTCAATGCCACCACGACCACCAATCAATGCCACACCACCCACCAATCAATTGCCACACTACCACCCACCAATCAATGCCACCACCACCCACCAATCAATGCCACCACCACCCACCAATCAATGCCACCACGACCCACCAATCAATGCCACACCACCACCCACCAATCAATGCCACACTACCACCCACCAATCAATGCCACACCACCACCCACCAATCAATGCCACACCACCACCCACCAATCAATGCCACACCACCACCCACCAATCAATGCCACACCACCACCCACCAATCAATGTCACACCACCACCCACCAATCAATGCCACCACCACCCACCAATCAATGCCACACCACCACCCACCAATCAATGCCACCATGACCCACCAATCAATGCCACCACCACCCACCAATCAATGTCACCACGACCCACCAATCAATGCCACACCACCCACACAATCAATGCCACACCACCTACCAATCAATGCCACACCACCCACCAATCAATGCCACCACCACCCACCAATCAATGCCACAACCACCCACCAATCAATGCCACGACCACCCACCAATAAATGCCACAACCACCCACCAATTAATGCCACCACCACCCACCAATCAATGCCACCACCAACCACCAATCAATGCCACCACCACCCACCAATCAATGCCACATCACCTACCAATCAATGCCACACCACCCACCAATCAATGCCACCACCACCCACCAATCAATGCCACACCACCACACACCAACCAATGCCACCACGACCCACCAATCAATGCCACCACGACCTACCAATCAATGCCACCACCACTCACTAATCAATGCCACACCACCACCCACCCATCAATGCCACCACCACCCACCAATCAATGCCACACCACCACCCACCAATCAATGCCACCACCACCCACCAATCAATGCCACACCACCACCCACCAATCAATGCCACACCACCACCCACCAATCAATGCCACCACGACCCACCAATCAATGCCACACCACAACCCACTAATCAATGCCACACCACCACCCACCAATCAATGCCACCACCACCCACCAATCAATGCCACCACCACCCACCAATCAATGCCACCACCACCCACTAATCAATGCCACACCACGACCCACCAATCAATGCCACCACGACCCACCAATCAATGCCACCACGACCCACCAATCAATGCCACCACCACCCACTAATCAATGCCACACCACCACCCACCAATCAATGCCACCACCACCCACCAACCAATGCCACACCACCACCCACCAATCAATGCCACCACCCACCAATCAATGCCACACCACAACCCATTAATCAATGCCACACCACGACCTACCAATCAATGCCAGCACGACGCACCAATCAATGCCACCACGACCCACCAATCAATGCCACCACCACTCACTAATCAATGTCACACCACCACCCACCAATCAATGCCACCACCACCTACCAATCAATGCCACACCACCCACCAATCAATGCCACCACCACCCACCAATCAATGCCACAACCACCCACCAATCAATGCCACACCACGACCTACCAATCAATGCCACCACGACCCACCAATCAATGCCACCACGACCCACCAATCAATGCCACCACCACTCACTAATCAATGCCACACCACCACCCACCCATCAATGCCACCACCACCCACCAATCAATGCCACACCACCACCCACCAATCAATGCCACCACCACTCACTAATCAATGCCACACCACCACCCACCCATCAATGCCACTACCACCCACCAATCAATGCCACACCACCACCCACCAATCAATGCCACCACCACCCACCAATCAATGCCACACCACCACCCACCAATCAATGCCACACCACCACCCACCAATCAATGCCACCACGACCCACCAATCAATGCCACACCACAACCCACTAATCAATGCCACACCACCACCCACCAATCAATGCCACCACCACCCACCAATCAATGCCACCACCACCCACCAATCAATGCCACCACCACCCACTAATCAATGCCACACCACGACCCACCAATCAATGCCACCACGACCCACCAATCAATGCCACCACGACCCACCAATCAATGCCACCACCACCCACTAATCAATGCCACACCACCACCCACCAATCAATGCCACCACCACCCACCAACCAATGCCACACCACCACCCACCAATCAATGCCACCACCCACCAATCAATGCCACACCACAACCCATTAATCAATGCCACACCACGACCTACCAATCAATGCCAGCACGACGCACCAATCAATGCCACCACGACCCACCAATCAATGCCACCACCACTCACTAATCAATGTCACACCACCACCCACCAATCAATGCCACCACCACCTACCAATCAATGCCACACCACCCACCAATCAATGCCACCACCACCCACCAATCAATGCCACAACCACCCACCAATCAATGTCACACCACGACCTACCAATCAATGCCACCACGACCCACCAATCAATGCCACCACGACCCACCAATCAATGCCACCACCACTCACTAATCAATGCCACACCACCACCCACCCATCAATGCCACCACCACCCACCAATCAATGCCACACCACCACCCACCAATCAATGCCACCACCACCCACCAATCAATGCCACACCACCACCCACCAATCAATGCCACACCACCACCCACCAATCAATGCCACCACGACCCACCAATCAATGCCACACCACAACCCACTAATCAATGCCACACCACCACCCACCAATCAATGCCACCACCACCCACCAATCAATGCCACCACCACCCACCAATTAATGCCACCACCACCCACTAATCAATGCCACACCACGACCCACCAATCAATGCCACCACGACCCACCAATCAATGCCACCACGACCCACCAATCAATGCCACCACCACCCACTAATCAATGCCACACCACCACCCACCAATCAATGCCACACCACCACCCACCAACCAATGCCACACCACCACCCACCAATCAATGCCACCACCACCCACCAATCAATGCCACACCACAACCCATTAATCAATGCCACACCACGACCTACCAATCAATGCCAGCACGACCCACCAATCAATGCCACCACGACCCACCAATCAATGCCACCACGACCCACCAATCAATGCCACCACCACTCACTAATCAATGTCACACCACCACCCACCAATCAATGCCACCACCACCCACCAATCAATGCCACCACCACCCACCAATCAATGCCACCACCACCCACCAATCCATGCCACCACCACCCACCAATCAATGTCACCACCACCCACTAATCAATGCCACACCACGACCCACCGATCAATGCCACCACCACCCACCAATCAATGCCACCACCACCCACCAATCAATGCCACCACCACCCACTAATCAATGCCACACCACGACCCACCAATCAATGCCACCACGACCCACCAATCAATGCCACCACGACCCACCAATCAATGCCACCACCACCCACTAATCAATGCCACACCACCCACCAATCAATGCCACACCACCACGAGTGCATACCGAGCCTCTACCGACAGAGCCCACGATGTGGATCCGGGTCGCGGCCACGGCTCCAGCCATCGCGGGAGCCTGCAGCCACCCACCGCCTTCACTCCCCGCGTGTGTCTCGCGTGTGTCAGTGTCTGTGTGTCTGTGTGTCTCTGTGTCAGGCAGTCTCACCGGCAGGAGCGGTGGCGCAGCGGTTAGCGCTACGCTGCGAACCCTAGTTCGATTCCCGCTCATGGTCACCAATACCAGTGACGATTTAATCTGAACCGAACCTGGGCCTCCCCTAGGTCGACTCAGCCTAAAATGAGTACCCGGCGCTGTGTGTAGTAAACATCGCCACTGGGGGGAGACAAAGGCGGCCGGGCGTGGTGCTGGCCACCCACCCCCTCGTGTGCCACAGTACCGGTAGCCTTCACAGGTGCCGCTGCTCGCTAACAGCACTTGCCCCTGCAGCCTGCTAGAGGCTACACGGGGGACCTTTGTCTGTGTATTGGCGCTGCTACTCGCTACTAACAGCACTTGCCCCTACAGTCTGCTCGAGGCTACACGGGGGACCTTTGTCTGTGTGCGCGTGCGTGCTGCTCCGATCCCAATCCGGATTCTCTCTCCACCGTCGCCTGCACCGCCTCGTCCGTCTCCTCGCGGTGAGCATCGAACAGGGAGGTGGGCTCGTTTCTTAGCGTGTGTGTGGTGTGTGTGTGTGGTGTGTGTGTGGTGTGTGTGGTGTGTGATGTGTGTGTGGTGTGTGTGTGGTGTGTGGTGTGGTGTGTGTGGTGTGTGTGTGTGTGGTGTGTGATGTGTGTGTAGTGTGGTGTGTGGTGTGTTGTGTGTGTGTTGTGTGTGTGGTGTGTGTGTGTTGAGTGTGTGTAGTGTGTGTGTGTGGTGTGTGTGGTGTGTGTGTGGTGTGTTTGTGTGTGTGTGTTGTGTGGTGTGTGTGTGTGTGATGTGGTGTGTATGTGGTGAGTGGTGTGTTATGTGGTGTGTATGTGGTGTGTGGTGTGTGTATGTGGTGTGTATGGTGTGGTGTGTGTGTGGTGTATGTGGTGTGTGTGGTGTGGTGTGTGGTGGATGTGGTGTGTGGTGGGTGTGTGTGGTGTGTGGTGGGTGTGTGTGGTATGGTGTGTGTGGTATGGTGGTCCGGTGGACCGGTTCTGGCTCCTGCCACCATGAGGGATGGACATTCCTCTACTCGGGGCAGCAGACTGTCAAACAACAGGGTGTGGCTCTTCTTTTGAACAAAAGAATGAAGAGTGCGTGGGAGTGTGGCGGTGAGGTGTGGGAAGCTGTAAACCCCAGGCTACTTTGGGCTCGCCTTCCCATCAACCGGAGGCGAGGAGTGGTGGTCGTGGTTACTTATGCCCCCACCGAAGACGAACATCCGTGGAGGGATGCAGGCAAAGCCGATGAGTCAGATGCCTTCTATGACCTCCTGTCATAGGTGCTGGCTAAAGTGGCCCCTCGGGATAGAGTCATCTTGTTGGGTGACTTCAATGCCCGAGTTGGTCATGATGCTGGCACCTGGTCTGGAGTGATTGGAGGGCATGGGCCAGATCAGCTCAATAACAACGGTAGGAGGCTGCTAGATTTTTGTGCAGCCCATGGGCTTGTAATTACCAACATGCTGTTCTGGCATCGGCGCATCCACACAACATCATGGATGCATGCCGGGTCCAAGCAAGAACAATCTGCTGGACTACACAGTGACGGACCAGCGGATGCGAGCCCATGTCCTTGACACTAGGACCTACCGTGGAGCTGATCTGCCCTCTGACCATCGACTAGTCATCTGTAAGATGCGCCTGCCATTCTTCCACTCCGGTGGTGGGTGTACACCCAGGACCCCATTCCAACCTAAAGTGGCATGGTCTCAGTTATCTGATGAAAGTTGCAAGCGAGAATTTCATCATCGCTTGCGGCTGGGGTTGGCATCGTCCCCCACTCCTCCAGATGTAGAGGGTAAATGGGCGAGGTTTAGGACTGTGACTCATGCAGCTGCAATGGCTGCTTTGGGTACGCGGTCCAGACCTCCCGAGAGACCCTGGCTGACAGAGGAAGTGTTTAGGATGGTTGAGAAAAAGCAACAGGCCCACTGTCATCGGCTACAGAATCCCACATCAGAGAATGAGGAGGCTTACCGCAGCCTTCGCTCAGAAGTTCGGAGAGCCATCAGGCGCTGCAAGGATGGGTGGTGGTCGCGGGTTTCTGAGGAGATGGAGTCTGCCTCAGTGGCCCGTGATCACAAATCTCTATTTAACTCCATCAAAAAAGTAACCTGCAGCGCCACACCTATTACCAGCATTAGGCGAAAAAACGGTGATCCAATCTCCGACCCCCAGGAACAGGTTTTGCAGATTTGCTGAGCATTTCTGTGAGGTCCTGGGGGAAGGGAAATCCCTTAGCCAGGAAAACATCGTGGCACTAAGTGGGGATGACCCTGCTGAGGCTGCGGTGCCTCAATTATTGGACGAAGTCACCCCTGGGAGTGGCTGGCTGAGGTGCCATCTGTTGAGGAAGTACTGAAGGCGATCCGGAGTCTGAGACCAGGAAAGGCACCGGGTAGAGACGATCTCCCAAGCGAAATGCTGAGGGAGGGTGGCGTTTGTGCACAGACTGTCCTATATGACATCATAACAACAATCTGGACCACTGGACGGGTTTCACAGGATTGGAAGGATGCCCTGGTGGTCCCCCTCTTTAAGAAGGGGGACCGCACAGACTGTAACAACTACAGGGGCATCTCACTCCTCAGTGTGCCGGAAAAGGTCCTGGCAAGGATTATTTAACATCGCCTTGCCAGGCACGCTGAGGAGAGGCTTGCGGAGCCCCAATGCGGTTTCAGGAAAGGACGGTCCTGCACAGATGCCATATTTTCTGTCCGTCTGCTACAGCAGAGGTGTAGGGAATTCCAACAGGACCTACATCTCTGCTTTATTGACCTGGTCAAGGCCTATGATACCATCAGTAGGCCTGGGCTCTGGGTTGTTCTTCTTTGGAGTCCCTGACCCTCTGCTCACGATCATTAAGGACCTTCATGATGGTGAGCGGGCCCGGGTAAAACTACGTGGTCGGGAGTCAGAGCCATTCCCTGTACACCTTGGGGTGCGACAGGGATGTCCTCTGGCTCCCACATTATTTAACATCTATTTTGACCACGTAGTTCGTGAAGCCTTCAATAGCAGTACCGGGGGACTGTCCATATGGTACAGATATAATGGGAGGCTGATCGATGCCCGGGTGCTGTCAAGGGATGGCTCTCTATTGCTCAACCACGTTATGTATGCCGATGATTTGGTAATAGCTGCTCATTCAGAGGAGGATTTGGAGACGCTGCTGCTGGGACTGGAGCGTGCCACTAAGAGATGGGGCCTTACCATCAGCCCCACCAAAACTAAGCACCTGCCTGGGTATTTTGTACCATCAGACACTCCATCCCCACAACTCCCAATTGGTGATGGGGCAGTTGTGGAGAGAGTGGAGAGTTTCCCATACCTGGGCAGTGTGCTTATGACCGACTCCAGTTTAACAGCAGAGGTCTCACTCCGAATCAGTCGAGTGGCAATATCTTTTCATCGGTTGCGTAACGCTGCGTGGAAGCTACCTGATCTGTCGCTCCGCACTAAGCTTCAGGTCTTCTCGGCCACGGTCATTCCCTCCCTTCTCTACGCTTGCGAAACGTGGACCCCCCTAATGGAACATCTTTGCCGGTTAGAAACATTTAGGCTAGCCTGCCTACGATCCATCCTGGGTTCAACCAGACTGGATTGTGTGAGGACCTCACAAATTCTTGAAAGATCTGGACAAGGTCCCATCGGTGAGCTCCTCCGGCGGGCAAGGCTGCGATGGCTGGGTCATGTAGCCCGCATGCCCAGCCACCGCATGCCGAAACAGCTTTTGTTCAGCCGGATCGAGGGGGCTAAACAGGCGCGGCACGGGCTAGAGAAGAGTTGGAGTGATGTGGTACAGGAGGACGTGGAGCTGAGTGGACTTGCCGATGACTGGTACCAGCGGTGTCAAGATCGGCCTCTGTGGAGGAGGCTCGTGAAGGACGCTACTGGGCAGTTGGAGGCAGTCGCCCTCCAACAACAACGGAGGGCGCAGGAGCGACGCTCACAACAACGAGCGGAGCGCCGGGTGGCTAAAGCACAGCAGGTTGGCACAGTAGGGGGCACAGGTGGTGCATCAGCCAGTCATCTCAGTCAGTCGACCCTTGGCACCTGGGTCTGCCCCGTGACCTCCTGCCAGCGGGCGTTCGACACTTCACGTGGCCTCAAGGTGCACATGGCCTGGCACAAGCGTCGTGGTGACGTCACCGCCACTTAGTGGCGAACGGCGGTTGTTGTGGTGTGTGTGGTGTGGTGTGTGTGGAGTGTGTGGTGTGTGTGGTGTGTGTGGGGTTGTGGTGGTGGTGGTGTTGGTGGTGTGCGGTGTTGTGGTGGTGGTGGTGTGCGGGGTTGTGTTGGTGGTGGTGTGTGGGGTTGTGTTGGTGGTGGTGGTGTGCGGGGTTGTGTTGTTGTTGGTGGTGGTGTGCGGGGTTGTGTTGGTGGTGGTGTGCGGGGTTGTGTTGTTGGTGGTGGTGGTGTGCGGGGTTGTGCTGTTGGTGGTGGTGTGCAGGGTTGTGTTGTTGGTGGTGGTGGTGGTGGTGTGCGGGGTTATGGTGGTGGTGTGCGGGGTTGTGTTGTTGGTGGTGGTGTGCGGGGTTGTGTTGGTGGTGTTTGGGGTTGTGTTGTCGGGATGCCGTGGGGGTTGCGCTGCTGAAACGCAGCGGGTTTGGCAACAGAAGGGGGCCTCAGGTGATGGTGGTGGTGGTGATGGTGGTGATGGTGGTGATGGTGGTGGTGATGGTGGTGATGGTGGCGGTGGTAATGGTGGTGGTGGTGATGGTGGTGGTGGTGATGGTGGTAATGGTGGTGGTGGCGGTGGTGATGGTGGTGGTGGTGATGGTGGTGATGGTGGCGGTGGTGATGGTGGTGGTGATGGTGGTGATGGTGGTGATGGTGGCGGTGGTGATGGTGGTGATGGTGGCGGTGGTAATGGTGGTGGTGGTGATGGTGGTGGTGGTGATGGTGGTAATGGTGGTGGTGGCGGTGGTGATGGTGATGGTGGTGATGGTGGTGATGGTGGCGGTGGTGATGGTGGTGGTGATGGTGGTGATGGTGGCGGTGGTGATGGTGGTGGTGATGGTGGTGATGGTGGCGGTGGTGATGGTGGTGGATCTGTGTCTCTGCCGGCCATCTCGCTCGGGCCACCCGCGGCATCCGCTGGGTCCGTCCCGTGACCTCCTCTTCCTGCCGGCAGCGAGCCTCCCGACACTTCACGTGGCAGCCTCGAAGTGCACCTAGCCTGGCACGGGCGCCGTGGTGACGTCGCCGCCCGCCACTTGCCGTACGTCGGTAAGGTGTGTACGCGAGCGTGGTGTATGCGTGGTGTCTATGGTGAACGTGTGGTGACTCCAACCACTGCTGTATTCTCTCCAAGATCATCTCCACTCACTCTGACCTCTCCCCCCCCCCCCACATCCTCCAGGTCACCTCGTCGCTCCGCGGTCCCTCCTCTTCACTCCTCGCGGTCGCCATGGACGACCCCCCCAGTTCCTCCCCTCCGGAGGCTCCCCCCGCGCCAGGGGTGTCGGCCGTGGCGCTGTGGACGTGCGTGGCCGTCGCGTCTCCCGTCCTGCTCACGCTCCTCTACCGCCTCTACCGCCTCTACCGCAGCCGCTGGCCCCCGCGGGGACACGCGGGCCTCCACGCGGCACCGCGGCGGCGGCGGCAACAGCCGAGGTGGGCACGGCCCACCCGGTACTCCCCCCTCGTCTCCCGCTCGCCCTCCCTCGCTCACCAAACTCACCGTCACGTCTCCCGCTCGCTCACCAAACTCACCGTCACGTCTCCCGCTTGCTCACCAAACTCACCGTCACGTCTCCCGCTCGCCCTGCCTCGCTCACCAAACTCACCGTCTCGTCTCCCGCTCGCCCTCCCCTGCTCACCAAACTCACCGTCTCGTCTCCCGCTCGCCCTCCCTCGCTCACCAAACTCACCGTCACGTCTCCCGCTCTCCCTCCCTCGCTCACCAAACTCACCGTCACGTCTCCCGCTCGCCCTCCCTCGCTCACCAAACTCACCGTCACGTCTCCCGCTTGCTCACCAAACTCACCGTCACGTCTCCCGCTCGCCCTCCCCTGCTCACCAAACTCACCGTCACGTCTCCCGCTCGCCCTCCCCTCGCTCACCAAACTCACCGTCTCCGCCACGGCAGGTGGAGGCGACGGCCGCCATCGCCGCCGGCGGTGGGAGGCAAGGAGAAGGATGAGGGGGAGAAGCCGGCGACGACGGAGGAGGAGGCGTGGGAAGAGGAGGAGGAGGACGAGGACTGTCGGCACTCGTGGGACGAGGTGGAGCTGTTTGGCCGCCCGGCCTTCTGCTGCGTGTGCACGCAGTCCGCCCTGCTGCACGTCTCCTGCTGCCACACCTGTGGACTCTGTGCCCACGGACCCTGCGTGGCCACGGCCGAGGCCACCCTGCGCTGCAAGGCGAGGTGAGGAGGTGGGCGAGGAGGTGGGCGAGGAGGTGGGTGAGGAGGTGGGTGAGGAGGTGGGTGAGAAGGTGGGTGAGGAGGTGGGTGAGGTGGGTGAAGATGTGGGTGAGGAGGTGGGTGAGGAGGTGGGTGAGTCGGTGGGTGAGGAGGTGGGCGAGGAGGTGGGCGAGGAGGTGGGTGAGGAGGTGGGTGAGTAGGTGGGTGAGTCGGTGGGCGAGGAGGTGGGCGAGGAGGTGGGCGAGGAGGTGGGTGAGGAGGTGGGTGAGGAGGTGGGTGAGGAGGTGAGTGAGTCGGTGGGTGACGAGGTGGGTGACGAGGTGGGTGACGAGGTGGGTGACGAGGTGGGTGACGAGGTGGGTGAGGAGGTGGGCGAGGAGGTGGGTGAGGAGGTGGGTGAGGATGTGGGCGAGGAGGTGGGCGAGGAGGTGGGCGAGGAGGTGGGCGAGGAGGTGGGTGAGGTGGTGGGTGAGGAGGTGGGTGAGGAGGTGGGTGAGGAGGTGAGTGAGTCGGTGGGTGAGGAGGTGGGTGAGGAGGTGGGTGACGAGGTAGGTGACGAGGTGGTTGAGGAGGTGGGCGAGGAGGTGGGTGAGGAGGTGGGTGAGGATCTGGGTGAGGAGGTGGGTGAGGAGGTGGGTGAGGAGGTGGGTGAGGAGGTGAGTGAGGAGGTGGGTGACGAGGTGGGTGACGAGGTGGTTGAGGAGGTGGGCGAGGAGGTGGGTGAGGAGGTGAGTGAGGAGGTGGGTGAGGATCTGGGTGAGGAGGTGGGTGAGGAGGTGGGTGAGGAGGTGGGTGAGGAGGTGAGTGAGGAGGTGGGTGAGGATCTGGGTGAGGATCTGGGTGAGGAGGTGGGTGAGGAGGTGGGTGATGTGGATGAGGAGGTGGGTGAGGAGGTGGGTGAGTCGGTGGGTGAGGAGGTGGGTGAGGAGGTTGGTGAGGAGGAGCTTGCTAGTCGCGCCTCCGTGCGTACGCGACGAGATGACGGAGGATGATGGGGTGGAGGAGGTGGAGCGGAAAGTGCTGAGGTGAAAGCTGTGAGGAGGTTGAGTGAGAGGTGATGAGGTGAATGGAGGAGTGAGGTGGTAGAGGTGGTGGTGTAGTGTACTCTGCAGGGTGGTCCACACAAACCTGTCAACCCCTTACCAGAGCCCTACCTCATTACAGACCAACTCAGACCTTATTGGTCACCCCGTGCCCCTTGTAAATCTCAACGTTCATCCTACAAAGTCCCATCGCAAGGGAGGAAGGGGCCGTCCATAAATGACGTCACGCGATTTTGGACGGTTTTTGGACCCCCCCCCTCATCACACGGCGTCACAAAAAGTCAGACCCCCCTCCTCAAATATGACGTCACAAAGCTCTGCCCCCCCCCCCCCCAAATAAATAAATAAAACATGCTTCAAATCGCTGCACTCTGATGTTGTAGGAGAAAACATTTATTACAAAGTATATTTAATTAAGTAGAACGCGTTGTCTATATTTATTTAAAGTTGCGCATTTTGATGTGACGTCACATTCTCAACCCCCCCCCCTCGTCAAACATCGTCACAAATGTCTGACCCCCCCTAGGTGCGTGACGTCATTTATGGACGGCTGTAACGCCGTATGGACCTGAAAACTCGATTTCCCTGTACAGGAATACGGGCTAGACCGTGTGTGTTCACACGGTGTGTGTGTGTTCACACGGTGTGTGTTGACACGGTGTGTGTGTGTGTTCACAAGGTGTGTGTGTGTGTTCACACGGTGTGTGTTCACACTGTGTGAACACACACCGTGTGAACTCACACCGTGTGAACACACACAGTGTGTTCACACGGTGTGAGTTCACACGGTGTGTGTTGTTGACACGGTGTGTGTTCACACCGTGTCAACAACACACAGTGTCCCTGACCATGCCTCTCTGGCCGTGTCTCTGACCTCTCTCTTGCCGTGTCTCTGTGACCTCTCTCACTGTGACCTCTCTCGCCGTGTCTCTGTGACCTCTCTCACTGTGACCTCTCTCGCCGTGTCTCTGTGACCTCTCTCACTGTGACCTCTCTCGCCGTGTCTCTGTGACCTCTCTCACTGTGACCTCTGTCGCCGTGTCTCTGTGACCTCTCTCACTGTGACCTCTCTCCCGCCGTGTCTCTGTGACCTCTCTCACTGTGACCTCTCTCCCGCCGTGTCTCTGTGACCTCTCTCACTGTGACCTCTCTCCCGCCGTGTCTCTGTGACCTCTCTCACTGTGACCTCTGTCGCCGTGTCTCTGTGACCTCTCTCACTGTGACCTCTCTCCCGCCGTGTCTCTGTGACCTCTCTCACTGTGACCTCTCTCTGACCGCGCCCGTGCCCAGGTGCTCCCCGGCTCCCGGTGGCCGCATGCACCACCTGTGGGTGTGTGGCTCGGTGCCGCTGTGCTCCGCGTGCTCCGTGTGCGGCGCGCCGTGCGGCGCCGAGCCGCGGCTGTGCGACGCTCGCTGTGCCTGGTGCCAGCGCTGCGTGCACGACGCTTGCCGGCCACGCGGCGAGGGCGACGAGGAGGGCGACGAGGAGGGCGACGAGGAGGGCGACGAGGAGGATGACGATGTGTGCGACCTGGGTCCGCTACGCGGAGTCATCATCCCGCCACCGACCCTACACGCGGCGCTACGGCAGGTGGGGGCGCCTGTCAAGGACGCACCGCTCACTCACTCACTCACTGTCGCTCTACCACTCGCTCGCTCGCTCACTCACTCACTCACTGTCGCTCTACCACTCGCTCACTCGCTCACTCACTCACTCGCTGTCGCTCTACCACTCGCTCGCTCACTCGCTCACTCACTCTCTCACTCTCTCTCTCACTCTCTCTCTCACTCACTCACTCTCTCACTCTCTCTCTCACTCTCTCTCTCACTCACTTACTCTCTCGCTCACTCTCTCACTCGCTCACTCTCTCACTCGCTCTCTCTCTCACGCTCTCTCTCTCACTCTCTCACTCACTCACTCACTCTCTCACTCTCTCTCTCACTCACTTACTCTCTCGCACTCACTTACTCTCTCGCTCACTCTCTCACTCTCTCTCTCACTCACTTACTCTCTCGCACTCACTTACTCTCTCGCTCACTCTCTCACTCTCTCTCTCACTCACTTACTCTCTCGCTCACTCTCTCACTCTCTCACTCTCTCTCTCACTCACTTACTCTCTCGCTCACTCGCTCACTCGAACGCTCGCTCACTCTCTCGCTCACTCTCTCACTCACTCTCTCACTCGAACCCTCGCCCACTCTCTCACTCACTCTCGCTCTACCGCTCGCTCACTCACTCGCTCACTCGCTCACTCTCGCTATTGCTCTCTCTCTCACGCTCTCTCCCACTCGCTCTCTCACGCTCTGTCTCACTCGCTCTCTCGCTCGCTCACGCTTTTAGAGTATTTGGCTGCTGCTATAAATGTCCACGTGGTGACGACGATGAGCCACTTCATTGGGTTATCATTTTGTGGCCAGGTCTCTTCTGAAGAAGAGGCTAATCACTTCGTGGGCTTCACCTGCTACGATAATATTTGTGTCTCTTTTTAAAGTGATATGTTAACGTTTCCTATAAACTAAACAATGTTTATTGCGAGTCAAAAATAGTTTTACGAAGAACTATTTTTAATTTACCAGGTAAGGCCCACTGAGGTGTATAGAAGCGACCTGGCCACAAATGATAACTCAATGAAGTGGCTCATCGTCGTCACCACGTGGACATTCATAGCAGCAGCCAAATACTCCAAATGTGGAGGAAAACACCGCAGGTGACCCAGAGAAAAATCCACGCGGCCACGAGGAGAGAGACACGCAGACTCCAAATATACAGCAGCAGCAGCAGGCATCGTCAGGGTCGGGATCAAACCCACGACCTCCTGTGTACCAGGCGAGGTAGTTAACATCTCACCACAGAGAGAGAGACACGCAAACTCTAAATATTATACAGCAGGTATCGTCAGGATCGGGATCGAACCCACGACCTCCTGTGTACCAGGTGAGGTTGTTAACATCTCACCACGAGGAGAGAGACACACAGACTCTACATATACAGCAGCAGGCGTCAGGGTCGGGATCGAACCCACGACCTCCTGTGTACCAGGCGAGGTAGTTAACATCTGCTCGCCACCGTGGCGCCCACTGTTTTGCGTATTGCCTTGTTGTTATTGTTGTTGTTGCAACGTTCTAAACCCCCGCGGCCACCTTTACCCAACGTCCGTGAACAAGAGCTTCGTGGCTCGTCGGATTACCTCCCGCGGCCTAAATAAACATTCCCGTAAAAGTTAGCGGCCCCGCCGGGGAGCAAGCGCCATCCTCGGCGTCGCCCGCGACGCGTTTGTCCGACGCTCGCCCGGCAGCGCCAGCGCTTGACCCCCCCCCGCCGCCGCCGTAGGCCGCCGCCCTGCCGTGCGTGGACGCCACCTGGACCCCGCTGCTGGTGCTCGTCAACCGGCGCAGCGGTGACGGCGCCGCTCAGCTCCTCCTGCGCCAGCTGCGTGGCCTCCTCAACCCCGTGCAGGTGGGGGCCGCCCGCTGTTCGCTGCCTGGGCTCTTGTCACGCTCACTGGCGACTCACTCACTAGCTCACTTTACTCACACACCCACTCACTCAAGCAACCCACTCACTCACTCACCAGCTCACTTTACTCACTCACTCACACACCCACCCACTCACTCACTAACTCACTAGCTCACTTTACTCACTCACTCACTCACTAGCTCACTTTACTCACTCACTCACCCACCCACTCACTCACTCACTAACTCACTAGCTCACTAACCCACTAGCTCACTTTACTCACTCACTCACCCACCTACCCACTCACTAACTCACTAGCTCACTTTACTCACTCACTAGCTCACTAACCCACTAGCTCACTTTACTCACTCACTCACCCACTCACTCACTCACACACCCACCCACCCACTCACCCACCCACTCACTCACTAACTCACTAGCTCACTTTACTCACTCACACACCCACTCACTCACTCACCCACCCACTCACTCACTAACTCACTAGCTCACTTTACTCACTCACTCACTAACTCACTAGCCCACTTTACTCACCCACCCACTCACCCACCCGCTCACTCACTCACTGACTAACTCACTAGCTCACTTTACTCACTCACTCACTAACCCACCCACCCACTCACTCACTGACTAACTCACTAGCTCACTTTACTCACTCACTAACCCACCCACTCACTCACTGACTAACTCACTAGCTCACTTTACTCACTCACTCACTAACCCACCCACCCACTCACTCACTGACTAACTCACTAGCTCACTTTACTCACTCACTAACCCACCCACCCACTCACTCACTGACTAACTCACTAGCTCACTTTACTCACCCACTCACTCACCCACCCACTCACTGACTAACTCACTAGCCCACTTTACTCACTCACTCACTAACCCACCCACCCACTCACTCACTGACTAACTCACTAGCTCACTTTACTCACCCACTCACTCACCCACCCACTCACTCACTGACTAACTCACTAGCCCACTTTACTCACTCACTCACTCACTAACCCACCCACCCACCTACTCACCCACCCACCCACTAACCCACCTACCCACTCACTCACTCACCCACCCACCCACCCAGGTGGTGGACATGAGCGAGGAGTCACCGGAGGAGGCGCTGGCGCTGTGTGCGCTCTTCCCCAAGCACTCCCCGCGTGTGCTCGTGTGCGGTGGGGACGGCACCGTCGGCTGGGCGCTCGACGCCATCGACCGCCTCCTGGAGCAGGTGGGGGCGGGGGGAGGGGGGGGGCGGGGGGGAGGGTGGGGGCGGGGGGAGGAGGCTCGTGATGGGCCACTTTGTCCACGTGATGGGCCACTTTGTCCACGTGATGGGCCACTTTGTCCGCGTGATGGGCCACTTTGTCCACGTGATGGGCCACTTTGTCCACGTGATGGGCCACTTTGTCCACGTGATGGGCCACTTTGTCCACGTGATGGGCCACTTTGTCCACGTGATGGGCCACTTTGTCCGCGTGATGGGCCACTTTGTCCACGTGATGGGCCACTTTGTCCGCGTGATGGGCCACTTTGTCCACGTGATGGGCCACTTTGTCCACGTGATGGGCCACTTTGTCCACGTGATGGGCCACTTTGTTCACGTGATGGGCCACTTTGTCCGCGTGATGGGCCACTTTGTCCACGTGATGGGCCACTTTGTCCACGTGATGGGCCACTTTGTTCACGTGATGGGCCACTTTGTCCGCGTGATGGGCCACTTTGTCCACGTGATGGGCCACTTTGTCCACGTGATGGGCCACTTTGTCCACGTGATGGGCCACTTTGTCCGCGTGATGGGCCACTTTCTCCGCGTGATGGGCCACTTTGTCCACGTGATGGGCCACTTTGTCCACGTGATGGGCCACTTTGTCCACGTGATGGGCCACTTTGTTCACGTGATGGGCCACTTTGTCCACGTGATGGGCCACTTTGTCCACGTGATGGGCCACTTTGTCCACGTGATGGGCCACTTTGTCTGCGTGATGGGCCACTTTGTCCACGTGATGGGCCACTTTGTCCACGTGATGGGCCACTTTGTCCACGTGATGTGCCACTTTGTCCACGTGATGGGCCACTTTGTCCACGTGATGGGCCACTTTGTCCACGTGATTGGCCACTTTGTCCACGTGATGGGCCACTTTGTCCACGTGATGTGCCACTTTGTCCACGTGATGGGCCACTTTGTCCACGTGATGTGCCACTTTGTCCACGTGATGGGCCACTTTGTCCACGTGATGTGCCACTTTGTCCACGTGATGTGCCACTTTGTCCACGTGATGGGCCACTTTGTCCACGTGATGGGCCACTTTGTCCACGTGATGGGCCACTTTGTCCACGTGATGTGCCACTTTGTCCACGTGATGGGCCACTTTGTCCACGTGATGTGCCACTTTGTCCGCGTGATGGGCCACTTTGTCCACGTGATGTGCCACTTTGTCCACGTGATGGGCCACTTTGTCCACGTGATGTGCCACTTTGTCCACGTGATGGGCCACTTTGTCCACGTGATGGGCCACTTTGTCCACGTGATGTGCCACTTTGTCCACGTGATGCGCCACTTTGGTCGCGCTATCGTCCGCGGTGGCCACGGGTCGCCTTGGAAAGAAAATTTCCAGGAGCTCAGTTGGGGCCTTGCCTGCTTAAAATGAGCAAACAATGTGTTTAAGTCGTTTGTCAGTCCACTGCTGGTGTTCACACACCACACCGGGTTACTCGTTTGAGGCCGAGTCGACCTAAGTGAGGCCCAGGAGCCGTTCGGTGGCCCTGACCGAGCAGCGAGGTTCGTGGCGCAGCGTGGCGCTAACCGCTGGACGAACGCTCGCCACGCCACGCATGTGGTGGCAGTGGCACCTGCTGGGTCTGCCCCGTGACCTCCTGCCAGCGGGCGTTCGACACTTGACGTGGCCTCAAGGTGCACATGGCCTGGCACGAGCGTCGTGGTGACGTCACCGCCACTTAGTGGCGAATGGCGATCGTTGTTGTTGTTGGTGGTGGTGATGGTGGTGGTGATGGTGGTGGTGATTATAGTGGTGATAACGGCTACGGTAGAAGCAGTAGTAGTGGCGGTGACAGTGGTTACCGTGGGTCACGGTGAATGTGGTGAGAGTGGTTAGGGTAGTGGCAGTGATATTGGACATAGTGGATGGTGGTGGATGTGGTGATGGTGGCTATGGTGGTGATGGTTGTGGCGATGTTGGTGATTGTGGATGAGTGTGCCAGTGTTGAACTTCTTTCGCACCGTATGTAGCCAAACACGCTAATCGGAGATGCGGGGGGAAGGACAACAACACTAAACACAACAACAACAACAACAACACCACCAAACACAACAACAACACTAAACACAACAACAACACTTAACACAACAACAACAACAACACCAAACACAACAACAACACTTAACACAACAACAACACTAAACACAACAACAACACTAAACACAACAACAACAACAACACTAAACACAACAACAACACTAAACACAACAACAACACTAAACACAACAACAACAACACTAAACACAACAACACTAAACACAACAACACTAAACACAACAACAACAACAACACTAAACACAACAACAACACTAAACACAACAACACTAAACACAACAACAACAACACTAAACACAACAACAACAACACTAAACACAACAACAACACTAAACACAACAACAACACTAAACACAACAACACTAAACACAACAACACTAAACACAACAACACTAAACACAACAACACTAAACACAACAACAACACTAAACACAACAACAACACTAAACACAACAACACTAAACACAACAACAACACTAAACACAACAACACTAAACACAACAACAACACAACAACAACACCAAACACAACAACACTAAACACAACAACATGAAACACAACAACACTAGACACAACAACACTAAACACAACAACAATACTAAACACAACAACACTAAACACACTAAACACAACAACAACAACAACACTAAACACAACACTAAACACAACAACACACAACATTAAACACAACAACACCAGACACAACAACACTAAACACAACAACAACACTAAACACAACAACAACACTAAACACAACAACACTAAACACAACAACAACACTAAACACAACAACACTAAACACAACAACAACACTAAACACAACAACACTAAACACAACAACACTAAACACAACAACACTAAACACAACAACACTAGACACAACAACAACACCAAACACAACAACAACACTAAACACAACAACACTAAACACAACAACACTAAACACAACAACACTAAACACAACAACAACACTAAACACAACAACACTAAACACAACAACAACACTAAACACAACAACACTAAACACAACAACAACACTAAACAAACCAGTTCGTCACTTCAGACGATGATTTACAAGGTGCACAGCTCCAGCGGCTGCCTATAACATGGGAAGGGAAGAAGAACGTTCCAGACGGCCGCGGCGGGCGCCGCGTGTAACGAGCGGTGCCGCCGCAGGACGAGCGGGTGGCGCGCCCCCCCGTGGCGGTGCTGCCGCTGGGCACCGGCAACGACCTGGCACGCTCGCTGGGCTGGCGCGAGGGATTCCCGGGGGACGGCGCCCTGGAGGAGCGGCTCGGAGACGTGCGGAGAGCTGAGACGCGCACGCTGGACAGGTGCGACACGACCTGGACACGACCTGGACGAGACTTGGACAGGACCTGGACACGACTTGGACACGACCTGGACAGGACTCGGACACGTCCTGGACACGACTTGGACAGGACCTGGACAGGACTCGGACACGTCCTGGACACGACTTGGACACGACTTGGACAGGACCTGGACAGGACTCGGACACGTCCTGGACACGACTTGGACACGACTTGGACACGACCTGGACACGGCCTGGACACGACCTGCTACGCCGCGTGGTTGAGCATCTGTGTTCAGCCGCTGTCCCGTGCTCACCCCGTGTCCTCCGTACTCACCCCGTACTCACTCCACGCTCACCGCGTACTCACCCCGTGCTCACCCCGTACTCACCCTGTGCTCACCCCGTGTCCTCCGTGCTCACCCCGTGCTCACCCCGTGCTCACTCCGTGTCCCCCATGTTCAGGTGGAGGGTCCAGGTCACGAATCGTGGCTACAAGGTGTTCCGCAAGCTCACCAAGGTGACCTCGCCATGCACGCTCACCACCACGCTGAGCCACTCACCACGCTGAACCACTCACCACGCTGAGCCACTCACCACTCTGAACCACTCACCACCACGCTGAACCACTCACCACGCTGAGCCACTCACCACGCTGAACCACTCACCACGCTGAACCACTCACCACGCTGAACCACTCACCATGCTGAGCCACTCACCACTCTGAACCACTCACCACTCTGAACCACTCACCACGCTGAACCACTCACCACTCTGAACCACTCACCACTCTGAACCACTCACCACTCTGAACCACTCACCACGCTGAACCACTCACCACGCTGAGCCACTCACCACTCTGAACCACTCACCATTCTGAACCACTCACCACGCTGAACCACTCACCACGCTGAACCACTCACCACGCTGAACCACTCACCACTCTGAACCACTCACCTACACGTTGTGCTGATGCTTCAGCGCTGCGCTACGTGACTGGACACCTGGGTTCGATTCCCGCTCACGGCCAACATCAGGCGTCAATATTCGAACCGGTCTTAGACCAACCCTGGTGTAGGACGTGTTAAACATCAGATGAGTGCTTGGTGCAGGACGTGTTAAACATCACATGAGTGCCTGGTGCTGCCGTGTTAAACATCACATGAGTGCCTGGTACAGGACGTGTTAAACATCAGATGAGTACCTGGTGTAGGACGTGTTAAACATCAGATGAGTGAATGGTACAGGACGTGTTAAACATCAGATGAGTACCTGGTGCAGGACGTGTTAAACATCAGATGAGTGACTGGTACAGGACGTGTTAAACATCAGATGAGTACCTGGTGTAGGACGTGTTAAACATCAGATGAGTGACTGGTACAGGACGTGTTAAACATCAGATGAGTACCTGGTGCAGGACGTGTTAAACATCAGATGAGTGACTGGTGCAGGACGTGTTATTCATCAGATGAGTACCTGGTGCAGGACGTGTTAAACATCAGATGAGTGACTGGTGCAGGTCGTGTTAAACATCAGATGAGTACCTGGTACAGGACGTGTTAAACATCAGATGAGTGACTGGTGCAGGACGTGTTATTCATCAGATGAGTGACTGGTGCAGGACGTGTTAAACATCAGATGAGTACCTGGTGCAGGACGTGTTAAACATCAGATGAGTGACTGGTGCAGGACGTGTTAAACATCACATGAGTGCCTGGTACAGGACGTGTTAAACATCAGAAGAGTGACTGGTGCAGGTCGTGTTAAACATCAGATGAGTGACTATGGCAGGACGTGTTAAACATCAGATGAGTGACTGGTGCAGGACGTGTTAAACATCAGATGAGTGACTGGTGCAGGACGTGTTAAACATCAGATGAGTGACTGGTACAGGACGTGTTAAACATCAGATGAGTACCTGGTGCAGGACGTGTTAAACATCAGATGAGTGACTGGTACAGGACGTGTTAAACATCAGATGAGTACCTGGTGCAGGACGTGTTAAACATCAGATGAGTGACTGGTGCAGGACGTGTTATTCATCAGATGAGTACCTGGTGCAGGACGTGTTAAACATCAGATGAGTGACTGGTGCAGGTCGTGTTAAACATCAGATGAGTGACTATGGCAGGACGTGTTAAACATCAGATGAGTACCTGGTACAGGACGTGTTAAACATCAGATGAGTGACTGGTGCAGGACGTGTTATTCATCAGATGAGTGACTGGTGCAGGACGTGTTAAACATCAGATGAGTACCTGGTGCAGGACGTGTTAAACATCAGATGAGTGACTGGTGCAGGACGTGTTAAACATCACATGAGTGCCTGGTACAGGACGTGTTAAACATCAGAAGAGTGACTGGTGCAGGTCGTGTTAAACATCAGATGAGTGACTATGGCAGGACGTGTTAAACATCAGATGAGTGACTGGTGCAGGACGTGTTAAACATCAGATGAGTGACTGGTGCAGGACGTGTTAAACATCAGATGAGTGCTTGGTGTAGGACGTGTTAAACATCAGATGAGTGCCTGGTGCTGGACGTGTTATTCATCAGATGAGTGACTGGTGCAGGACGTGTTAAACATCAGATGAGTGCCTGGTGTAGGACGTGTTAAACATGAGATGAGTACCTGGTGCAGGGCCCAGCCTCCCCATGGGTCTGTGGGGAGGCTACACGGGGGACCTTTGCCTTTGTGTGTTCGGCGACGGTGCACAGAGCCTGTCCATGAACAACTACTTCTCGGTGGGACCAGATGCTCTCATGGCGCTGAATTTCCACCGGCACCGTGAGAGCAAGCCGGCTCTCTTCACCAGTCGCCACGTCAACAAGGTGGGGACAGACACACAGAGACAGACACACAGAGACAGACACACAGAGACAGACACACAGAGACACACAGAGACACACAGAGACAGACACACAGAGACAGACACACAGAGACACTCACACAGAGACACTCACACAGAGACAGACACACAGAGACACACACACAGAGGCAGACACACACAGACACACAGAGACAGACACACAGAGACAGACACACAGAGACAGACACACAGAGACACTCACACAGAGACACACAGAGACACTCACACAGAGACACACAGAGACACACAGAGACAGACACACAGAGACAGACATAGAGACAGACACACAGAGACACTCACACAGAGACAGACACACAGAGACACACAGAGACAGACACACAGAGACAGACACACAGAGACAGACACACAGAGACAGACAGAGACACACAGAGACAGACACACAGAGACAGACACACAGAGACACTCACACAGAGACACTCACACAGAGACAGACACACAGAGACACACACACAGAGGCAGACACACACAGACACACAGAGACAGACACACAGAGACAGACACACAGAGACACTCACACAGAGACACACAGAGACACTCACACAGAGACACACAGAGACACACAGAGACAGACACACAGAGACAGACATAGAGACAGACACACAGAGACACTCACACAGAGACAGACACACAGAGACACACAGAGACAGACACACAGAGACAGACACACAGAGACACACACACAGAGACAGACACACAGAGACACACAGAGACAGACACACAGAGACAGACACACAGAGACACTCACACAGAGACAGACAGAGACACACAGAGACAGACACACAGAGACAGACATAGAGACAGACACACAGAGACACTCACACAGAGACAGACACACAGAGACACACAGAGACAGACACACAGAGACAGACACACAGAGACAGACACACAGAGACAGACAGAGACACACAGAGACAGACACACAGAGACAGACATAGAGACAGACACACAGAGACACTCACACAGAGACAGACACACAGAGACACACAGAGACACACAGAGACAGACACACAGAGACAGACACACAGAGACAGACACACAGAGACACACAGAGACACACAGAGACACACACAGAGACAGTCACACAGAGACAGACACACAGAGACAGACACACAGAGACAGACACACGGAAACACGTGGACACAGTCACACGGAGACGCACAGGGACATGCCGTGACACACAGTCACACACAGTCACACACAGTCACACACCGTGACACACAGTGACACACAGTGACACGCCGTCACACACAGTCACACACAGTCATACACAGTCACACACAGTCACACACCATGACACACAGTGACACAGTCACACACAGTCACACGCCGTCACACACAGTCACACGCCGTGACACGCCGTCACACACAGTGACACACAGTCACACACAGTCACACACAGTGACACACAGTGACACACAGTCACACGCCGTCACACACAGTGACACGCCGTCACACACAGTAACACACAGTGACACACAGTCACACAGTCACACGCCGTCACACACAGTGACACACAGTCACACGCCATGACACACAGTGACACAGTCACACGCCGTCACACACAGTGACACACAGTCACACACAGTCACACGCCGTCACACACAGTGACACACAGTCACACACAGTCACACACAGTCACACGCCGTGACACACAGTCACACGCCGTGACACACCGTGTCACACAGTCACACGCCGTGACATGCCGTGACACAAAGCCACACGAAAAAAAGACAAAGATCCCTGTACAGCCTTCACAGACTGTAGGGGCAAGTGCTGTTAGCGAGCAGCACCTACAAAGACAAAGATCCCCCGTGTAGCCTGTAACAGACTGTTGGGGCAAGTGCAAAGACTCACAAAGACTCAGACTCACAAAGACTCACAAAGACTCACAAAGACATAGACTCACAAAGACTCAGACTCACAAAGACTCACAAAGACTCAGACTCACATAGACACAGACTCACAAAGACTCAGACTCACAAAGACACACAAAGACTCAGACACAAAGACTCAGACTCACAAAGCCACAGACTCACAAAGACTCACAAAGACTCCCAAAGACTCAGACTCACAAAGACTCAGACTCACAAAGACAGACTCACAAAGACTCACAAAGACTCACAAAGACTCAGACTCACAAAGACACACAAAGACTCAGACTCACAAAGACTCACAAAGACTCACAAAGACACACACAGACTCACACAGACTCACACAGACTTACAAAGACTCACAAACTCTCACAAAGACACAGACTCACAAAGACTCACACAGACTCAGACAGACTCACAAAGACTCACAAAGACAGACTCACAAAGACTCAGACTCACAAAGACTCAGACTCACAAAGACTCACAAAGACTAACAAAGACTCACAAAGACTCACAAAGACTCACAAAGTCTCACAAAGACACACAAAGACACACAAAGCCTCACAAAGACTCACAAAGACTCACAAAGACACACAAAGACACACAAAGACTCACAAAGTCTCACAAAGACTCACAAAGTCTCACAAAGACTCACAAAGACTCACAAAGACACACAACGACTCAGAAAGACTCACAAAGACTCACAAAGACACACAAAGACTCACAAAGACTCACAAAGTCTCACAAAGACTCACAAAGACTCACAAAGACTCACACAGACTCACAAAGACTCACAACGACTCACAAAGACTCAGACTCCCAAAGACTCAGACTCACAAAGACAGACTCACAAAGACTCACAAAGACTCAAAAAGACTCACAAAGACTCACAAAGACTCAGACTCGCAAAGACTCAGACTCACAAAGACAGACTCACAAAGACTCACAAAGACACACAAAGACTCACAAAGACTCACAAAGACACACAAAGACTCACAAAGACACACAAAGACACACAAAGACTCACAAAGACACACAAAGACTCATAAAGACTCACAAAGACACACAAAGACTCACAAAGACTCACAAAGACACACAAAGACTCACAAAGACACACAAAGACACACAAAGACTCACAAAGACTCACAAAGACACACAAAGACTCACAAAGACACACAAAGACACACAAAGACTCACAACGACTCACAAAGACTCACAAAGACACACAAAGACTCACAAAGACACACAAAGACTCACAAAGACACACAAAGACACACAAAGACACACAAAGACTCACAAAGACTCACAAAGACACACAAAGACTCACACAGACTCACAAAGACACAGAAAGACTCACAACGACTCAAAAAGACTCACAAAGACACAAAGACTCACAAAGACACACAAAGACACACAAAGACACACAAAGACTCACAAAGACTCACAAAGACACACAAAGACTCACAAAGACACACAAAGACTCACAGAGACACACAAAGTCTCACAAAGACTCACAAAGACTCACAAAGACACACAAAGACACACAAAGACTCACAAAGACACACAAAGACTCACAAAGACTCACAAAGACACACAAAGACTCACAAAGACACACAAAGACACACAAAGACTCAGACTCACAAAGACTCACAAAGACTCACAAAGACACACAAAGACTCACAAAGACACACAAAGACTCACAAAGACACACAAAGTCTCACAAAGACTCACAAAGACACACAAAGACACACAAAGACTCACAAAGACACACAAAGACTCACAAAGACTCACAAAGACTCACAAAGACTCACAAAGACACACAAAGACTCACAAAGACACACAAAGACTCAGACTCACAAAGACTCACAAAGACTCACAAAGTCTCACAAAGACACACAAAGACTCACAAAGACACACAAAGACTACTGTGTTATCTGTCTCTGCAGGCTGTTTACTTCTTTTATGGGACCAAGGACTGCCTGGTGCAGGAGTGCAGGAACCTGGACAAGATGATCGAGGTGCCACCCCCACCCACCCTCCGCACCCACCCACCCAGCCCCACCCACCCAGCCCCCCCACCCTCCCACCCACCAAGACCCCCCCACCCACCCACCCAGCCCCCCACCCACCCACCCAGCCCCCCCCCCCCACCCACCCAGCCCCCCCACCCACCCACCCAGCCCCCCCCCACCCACCCACCCAGCCCCCCCCACCCACCCACCCAGCCCCCCCCCCACCCACCCAGCCCCACCCACCCACCCAGCCCCCCTTACCCACCCAGCCCCCCCACCTACCCACCCTCCCCCCCCCGTGTTTCTGCAGCTGGAGCTGGACGGGCGGCGTGTGTCCCTGCCCCCGCTGGAGGGAGTCATCGTCCTCAACATCGCTCACTGGGGGGGCGGCTGCCGCCTCTGGGAGGGCACCGGGGACCCACCCTGCCCACCCGCACGGTGCCCGCTCATCATCCTCATCATCCTCGTCACCCTCGTCACCACCACACACCTCGTCGCTGTAGTCATCGCCACACACCTCGTCACCGTAGTCACCTCGTCAATGCCACACACCTCGTCACCCCCACACACCTCGTCACCGCCACACACCTCGTCACCCCCACACACCTAGTCACCACCACGCACCTCGTTACCGTAGTCACCGTAGTCACCACCACACACCTCGTCACCGTAGTCACCGCCACACACCTCGTCACCGTAGTCACCGCCACACACCTCGTCACCGTAGTCACCGCCACACACCTCGTCACCGTAGTCACCGCCACACACCTCGTCACCGTAGTCACCGCCACACACCTCGTCACCGTAGTCACCGCCACACACCTCGTCGTCACCGCCACGCCGCCGTCATCTTCACTGCTTCATCGCCCAGCCGCACCATCGTCGTCGCTTCGCACAGCCGTCGTCACACCTCGTCACACCTCGTCACACAGTCGCGGTGCGGTGGTGGTAATGCCGGAGCGCCGTACATGGTGTGGTACGGCGAGTGATGGTGACTGCTGGTGGGGAGTGGTACGGTGCAGAAAGAGGTGCTGTAAGCTGCGGTGTGCGGGGTGAGGTGTGGCAACACCGGTGTGGCGCGGTAACACCGGTGTGGTGTGGTAACACCGGTGTGGTGTGGTAACACCGGTGTAGTAACACCAGTGTGGTGTGGTAACACCGGTGTGGTGTGGTAACACCGGTGTGGTGTGGTGTGGTAACACCGGTGTGGTGTGGTGTGGTAACACCGGTGTGGTGCGGTGCAGGCAGGACGACGGTAAGCTGGAGGTGGTGGGTGTCTATGGCTCCTTCCACCTGGCGCAGCTGCAGGTGAAGTTGGCCAACCCCCTGCGCCTGGGGCAGGCGCACAGCGTCAAGGTACAATACGCACGGCGTGTGCGTGCGTGTGTGTGCGTATGTGTGCGTGTGTACGTGCGTGTGTGTGCGTGTGTACGTGCGTGTGTACGTGCGTGTGTGCATGTGCACGTGGGTGTGTGTGCGTGTGTGTGTGTGCGTGTGCGTGCGTGTGTACATGCGTGCGTGTGTGCGTGCGTGTGTACGTGCGCGTGTGCGTGCGTTTGTACGGGCGTGTGTGGGTGCGTGTGTGCATGCGTGTGTATGTACGTGCGTGTGCACGTGGGTGTGTGTGTGTGCGTGTGTGTGTGTACGTGCGTGTGTGCGTGTGTACGTGCGTGTGTACGTGCGTGTGTGCGCGAGTTAGTGTGTGTGTGTGCGTGCGTGTGTACGTGCGTGTGTGCTCGCTAACAGCACTTGCCCCAACGGTCTGCTAAGGCTACCACGGGGGAACCTTTGGCAGTGTGGTGCATCGGCCGCTCGTCTCAGTCAGTCGACTCGCGACCTCCTCCCGCCAGCAGCGAGCCTCCGACACTTCAACGTGCACCTAGCCTGGCACAGGTGCCGGGGTCATGTCACCGTCATGACGGCTGTTGTTGTTGAGGCAGTGGGGAGTGGTGGCGCAGCGGTTAGCGCTACGCCACGCTACAAACGCGGTGACACAAATTCGATTCCCGTTCGTGGCCAACACCGGTGACGATTATCCGAACCGGTCCTGGGCCTCCCTTAGGTCGACTGAGCCTCAAATGAATAGCCCGGTGCGGTGTGTAGTAAACATCGCCACTGGGGAGACAAAGGCGGCCGGGGCGTGGTGCTGGCCACCCACCCCCTCGTAGTGCAGCGCCGGCCTTCACAGGAGCTCGCTAACAGCACTTGCCCCTACAGTCTGTTAGAGGCTACACGGGGGACCTTTGTCTTTGTAGGTGCTAATCGCTAACAGCACTTGCCCCTACAGTCTGTTAGAGGCTACACGGGGGACCTTTGTCTCTGCACGTGCGCGATGAGCCCTCCCCCTTCCCCCCCCCATCCAGCTGACGCTGCACGAGGGGCAGATGCCGATGCAGGTGGACGGGGAGCCCTGGTCACAGGGCCCCTGCTCGGTCCTCATCACCTACAAGACCGGCGCGCTGGTGCTGGCGCGGCCCGGCACGGAGCCCGGCACGGAGCCCGGCACGGAGCCCGGCACGGAGCCCGGCACGGAGCCCGGCACGGAGCCCGGCACGGAGCCCGGCACGGAGCCCGGCACGGAGCCCGGCACGGAGCCCGGCACGGAGCCCGGGACGGAGCCCGGCACGGAGCCCGGCAGGGAAACCGACAGCCAGTGAAGCCACCCAACGCCACGGCCTGTACCTGCGAATTGACTGGCTCGGACGTGCAGGGTGACGGACAGAAGGGGTGACGGACAGAAGGGGTGACGGACAGAAGGGGTGACGGACAGTAGGGGTGAGGGAGAGTAGGGGTGACAGAGAGAAGGGGTGACGGACAGTAGGGGTGACGGACAGAAGGGGTGACGGAGAGAAGGGGTGACGGAGAGAAGGGGTGACGGACAGAAGGGGTGACGGACAGAAGGGGTGACGGACAGAAGGGGTGACAGAGTGACGGTCGGACGGAGCGAGTGGCGGACGACCAACCAAGACGACAGAATGTGGAGGAGCAAGCGTGGCCACCACCACCACGAGCCGGTGACGGGTACCGGTTGCTTGGGCTCATGCCTGCACTACCGTTACTGTGATCTACCACTGCTGGTGACAGTAGCAGTGACCATAGATACAATTACTACTGTTGTCACAGCTGGTGACAGTAGTAGTGAATATAGATACAATTACTACTGTCACAGCTGGTGACAGTAGTAGTGACCATAGATACAATTACTACTGTTGTCACAGCTGGTGACAGTAGTAGTGAACATAGATACAATTACTACTGTTGTCACAGCTGGTGACAGTAGCAGTGACTACAGATACAATTACTACTGTTACAGCTGGTGACAGTAGTAGTGGCCATAGATACAATCACTACTACTACTGTTACAGCTGGTGACAGTAGTAGTGACTACAGATACAATTACTACTGTTGTCACAGCTGGTGACAGTAGTAGTGACTATAGATACAATCACTACTACTACTGTTACAGCTGGTGACAGTAGTAGTGACTACAGATACAATTACTACTGTTACAGCTGGTGACAGTAGTAGTGACTACAGATACAATTACTACTGTTACAGCTGGTGACAGTAGCAGTGACTACAGATACAATTACTACTGTTACAGCTGGTGACAGTAGTAGTGACCACAGATACAATTACTACTGCTGTTACAGCTGGTGACAGTAGTAGTGACTATAGATACAATTACTACTGCTGTTACAGCTGGTGACAGTAGTAGTGACTATAGATACAATCACTACTACTGTCACAGCTGGTGACAGTAGCAGTGACTACAGATACAATTACTACTGTCACAGCTGGTGACAGTAGCGGTGACTATAGATACAATTACTACTGTCACAGCTGGTGACAGTAGCGGTGACTATAGATACAATTACTACTGTTACTGTCACAACTGGTGACAGTAGTAGTGACTACAGATACAATTACTACTGTTGTCACAGCTGGTGACAGTAGCAGTGAACATAGATACAATTACTACTGTCACAGCTGGTGACAGTAGCAGTGACTACAGATACAATTACTACTGTCACAGCTGGTGACAGTAGTAGTGACCACAGATACAATTACTACTGTCACAGCTGGTGACAGTAGCAGTGAACATAGATACAATCACTACTGTTGTCACAGCTGGTGACAGTAGTAGTGAACATAGATACAATTACTACTGTCACAGCTGGTGACAGTAGCAGTGACTACAGATACAATTACTACTGTTGTCACAGCTGGTGACAGTAGCAGTGAACATAGATACAATTACTACTGTCACAGCTGGTGACAGTAGTAGTGACCACAGATACAATTACTACTGTCACATCTGGTGACAGTAGTAGTGACTACAGATACAATTACTACTGTCACAGCTGGTGACAGTAGCAGTGACTACAGATACAATTACTACTGTTGTCACAGCTGGTGACAGTAGTAGTGACTACAGATACAATTACTACTGTCACAGCTGGTGACAGTAGTAGTGACTACAGATACAATTACTACTGTTACAGCTGGTGACAGTAGTAGTGAACATAGATACAATTACTACTACTGTCACAGCTGGTGACAGTAGTAGTGACCATAGATACAATTACTACTGTCACATCTGGTGACAGTAGCAGTGACTATAGATACAATTACTACTGTTGTCACAGCTGGTGACAGTAGTAGTGACCACAGATACAATTACTACTGTCACAGCTGGTCACAGTAGTAGTGAACATAGATACAATTACTACTGTTACAGCTGGTGACAGTAGTAGTGACTATAGATACAATTACTACTGTTGTCACAGCTGGTGACAGTAGTAGTGAACATAGATACAATTACTACTGTTACAGCTGGTGACAGTAGTAGTGAACATAGATACAATTACTACTGTTACAGCTGGTGACAGTAGTAGTGACTATAGATACAATTACTACTGTTACAGCTGGTGACAGTAGTAGTGACTATAGATACAATTACTACTGTTACAGCTGGTGACAGTAGCAGTGACCATAGATACAATTACTACTGTTACAGCTGGTGACAGTAGTAGTGACTACAGATACAACTACTACTGTTACAGCTGGTGACAGTAGTAGTGACTACAGATACAATTACTACTGTTACAGCTGGTGACAGTAGTAGTGAATATAGATACAATTACTACTGTTGTTACAGCTGGTGACAGTAGTAGTGACTACAGATACAATTACTACTGTTACAGCTGGTGACAGTAGTAGTGAATATAGATACAATTACTACTGTTACAGCTGGTGACAGTAGTAGTGAACATAGATACAATTACTACTGTTGTTACAGCTGGTGACAGTAGTAGTGACTACAGATACAATTACTACTGTTACAGCTGGTGACAGTAGTAGTGACTACAGATACAATTACTACTGTTGTCACAGCTGGTGACAGTAGTAGTGAACATAGATACAATTACTACTGTTGTTACAGATGGTGACAGTAGTAGTGACTACAGATACAATTACTACTGTTACAGCTGGTGACAGTAGTAGTGAATATAGATACAATTACTACTGTTGTTACAGATGGTGACAGTAGTAGTGACTACAGATACAATTACTACTGTTGTCACAGCTGGTGACAGTAGTAGTGAACATAGATACAATTACTACTGTTGTCACAGCTGGTGACAGTAGTAGTGACTACAGATACAATTACTACTGTCACAGCTGGTGACAGTAGTAGTGAATATAGATACAATTACTACTGTTGTTACAGCTGGTGACAGTAGTAGTGAATATAGATACAATTACTACTGTTACAGCTGGTGACAGTAGTAGTGACTACAGATACAATTACTACTGTTGTCACAGCTGGTGACAGTAGTAGTGAATATAGATACAATTACTACTGTTACAGCTGGTGACAGTAGTAGTGACTACAGATACAATTACTACTGTTGTCACAGCTGGTGACAGTAGTAGTGAATATAGATACAATTACTACTGTTGTTACAGCTGGTGACAGTAGTAGTGAATATAGATACAATTACTACTGTTACAGCTGGTGACAGTAGTAGTGACTACAGATACAATTACTACTGTTGTCACAGCTGGTGACAGTAGTAGTGAATATAGATACAATTACTACTGTTACAGCTGGTGACAGTAGTAGTGACTACAGATACAATTACTACTGTTACAGCTGGTGACAGTAGTAGTGACTACAGATACAATTACTACTGTTGTCACAGCTGGTGACAGTAGTAGTGACTACAGATACAATTACTACTGCTGCTGCTGCTGTCACAGCTGGCGCTACTGGTGCAGTAGCGATGCCCGCTTCTCCGTCCGGAGGGTGCAGTGCAGAGTGCAGTGCAGGGTGTAGGCAGAGTGCAGTGCAGGGTGTAGTGCAGGGTGTAGGCAGGGTGCAGGCAGGGTGCAGTGCAGGCAGGCAGGGCGCCCTAGCGTGAGACTGGTACAGAGCATCGTCGTCGTGATCATCACCATCGTCATCGTCACCATCGTCATCATCACCATCGTCGTGATCATTACCATCGTCATCGTCACCATCGTCATCATCACCATCGTCGTGATCATTACCATCGTCATCATCACCATCGCCGTGATCGTCGTGATCGTCGTCATCGTCACCATCGTCGTGATCGTCGTCATCGTCACCATCGTCGTGATCGTCGTCGTGATCGTCACGACCACCAGCACTGCCACCACCAGTAAGCACTCGTCCACGGAGCTGGGCAGACCTCCCTCCCGTGTGGGACCGCCCGGCCTGTTGGGCCCTGCGTTGCTGGTGGGGCCGGTCCTGGCGGCTCCACCTCTTTGTCGGCGGTGTGTTACCCCGCGGTGTGTTACCCCGCGGTGTGTTACCCCGCGGTGTGTTACCTCGCGGTGTGTTACCCCACGGTGTGTTACCCCACGGTGTGTTACCCCACGGTGTGTTACCCCGCGGTGTGTTACCCCGCGGTGTGTTACCCCGTGGTGTGTTACCCCACGGTGTGTTACCCCGCGGTGTGTTACCTGGTGGTGTTACCCCGTGGTGTGTTACCCCGTGGTGTGTTACCCCACGGTGTGTTACCCCGCGGTGTGTTACCCCGCGGTGTGTTACCCCGCGGTGTGTTACCCCGTGGTGTGTTACCCCACGGTGTGTTACCCCGCGGTGTGTTACCTGGTGGTGTTACCCCGTGGTGTGTTACCCCGTGGTGTGTTACCCCACGGTGTGTTACCCCGCGGTGTGTTACCCCACGGTGTGTTACCCCGTGGTGTGTTACCCCGTGGTGTGTTACCCCACGGTGTGTTACCCCACGGTGTGTTACCCCACGGTGTGTTACCCCACGGTGTGTTACCCCGCGGTGTGTTACCCCGCGGTGTGTTACCCCGCGGTGTGTTACCCCACGGTGTGTTACCCCGCGGTGTGTTACCCCGCGGTGTGTTACCCCGTGGTGTGTTACCCCGTGGTGTGTTACCCCGCGGTGTGTTACCCCACGGTGTGTTACCTCGTGGTGTGTTACCCCACGGTGTGTTACCCCACGGTGTGTTACCCCACGGTGTGTTACCCCGTGGTGTGTTACCCCGTGGTGTGTTACCCCGCGGTGTGTTACCCCGCGGTGTGTTACCCCGCGGTGTGTTACCCCGCGATGTGTTACCCCACGGTGTGTTACCCCACGGTGTGTTACCCCACGGT